CGACCCCTGGGAGGGCTAAAATTCGACACCCCTCACGAGGATCGTGGCTGCTGAGGGGGGGGCTGTAATTAGGGAACCCCCCTTCGTTGATCGATCTCCTCCAAGATGGCTCCGAGGCCCCCCAAGAGGCCACCAGGAGGCCCCAAAGAGGATCCCGAACGGCCCACAGAGGTCCTCCCGAGGCACCCAAGACGCAGAAAAGCCCCTCAGGACGACCCTCTACTCGCCTGGGCGTCGTTTCTGGACGGGCTGGTGGGGATACGCGAAGCGTCTAGAATTCCCCCCCTTTCCCTGCTGCTGTTCTTCCTGCTGCTGCTCCTCCTTCTCCTCCTCATCATCGTTCTCTGCCTCCATATTGGGGAGGGGGGGGGGAGGGAAGCGGGGCAAGGGCAAAAGAGGTGGATGACGGCGGAAGCAGGAAATCGCGAGATGGGAATCGGGTAGTGGGTAAGGTGGGGAACCGCCTGTCCGGAGCATGATCGATGAGACTTGCAGCCCCCGCGTCTCTGAACAGCACTTGGCTGTGATTACCGATGGTTGGGGAAGCGACGAGCTTCCCACTCCTACGATAGCGCGCTGGACCGAACCACCGACAGGTATATCGCCATCGGGAAGGGGACGGGAGGAGGTGGGGAGAAGAGGGGGGTAGGGATCAGATCGACGGAGAGAAGGAGAAGGCTGAATGAGAGAAGGCAGGTGGAAGAACGTGTGAGTCAATGGCAGGGGGAAGAACAAGGGAAGAAGAGGGGGAGGATGGATCGGGTGAAGACGAGGGAGCAGGGAAGGGCAGAGCAGGGAGAGGGAGGGAGTTAGTGGAGGGAGGAAGGAGGGGATCAACGTAAAAGGATCTGGACATCGGAGGTGGGTCACGTATTGTCTCAACTGTCCTGTGGCGTTGGGTCCTCGTTTTGAAGAGACAGCGCCCTGCGTCACTCCTATTCCTCCCGCCGCCCCCTCCCTCCTCCTCCTCCTCCTCCTCCTCCTCCTCATCATCGTACTCATCCTAAGTATCATTATAATCAGCATCAGCATCAGCATCACCATCATCAGCATCACCAGCAGCATCAGCAACATCTTCAGCATCATCATCATCACCATCTTGAGAAGCAGCATCATCATCATCACCATCACCATCACCATCACCATCACCATCACCATCACCATCACCATCACCATCACCATTACCACCATCATCACCACCACCACCACCACCATCATCATCATCATCATCATCATCATCATCATCAAAATCATCATCATCATCATCATCATCATCATCATCATCATCATCATCATCATCATCCTCATCCTCATCCTCATCCTCATCCTCATCCTCATCCTCATCCTCATCCTCCTCATCATCATCATCATCATCATCATCATCATCATCATCGTCACCGTCACCCCATAGGGAGCTACACCCAAAGCCCCACTGGCGGGGCCCGCGCGTGGGCGACACCCCCGTTTCGGCACACTCCTCACACGTTTCCTGGCCCCACAGGAATCTCCACCGAAGGCCCCAGTGGCGCAGCCCGCATGAGGGCGACACCCCCATTTCGGCACACCCCACAAACGTTTCGTGGCCCCATGGGGAGGTCCACCTAAGGCCGCAGCGGCGCAGACCGCCTATGGGCGACACCCACGTTTCGGCACACCCCTCACACGCTTCGTGGCCCCATAGGGAGCTCCACCTGAGGTCACAGCGGCGCAGCCCGCATGTGGGCGACACTCTCGTTTTGGCAAACTCCCTACACGTTCCTGGCCTCACAGGGAGCTCCAACGAAGGCCCCAGAGGCGCAGCCCGCATATGGGCGACACCCCCGTTTCGGCACACCCCACAAACGTTTCGTGGCCCCATAGGGAGGTCCACCTACGGTCCCAGTGGCGCATCTCCTCACGATCGCGGTACTCACAACTGCATATGCTTGAGGCTTTTGCCAGGCTGATTGTTTGTTGTTTGTTTTGTTTCTTGTTTAGTTTGTTCTCTCTCTCTCTCGCGCGCCCTCTACATGCCAATGTTTATCATCCCTTCCCTTTTCCGTCTGCATCATCCTGCCTTCTTCATATCCGTCCCCCCCCAGGCCGTGCTCCTTCTATCCCAAACCCCATCCCTCGCCACCCGCCAACCTCCAGTACTCTCTCCCTCCCAGCATGCCTCCCTCCCTTTCCTCTCCTGTTTTTCCCAGATCTCTCCATCTCCCCCGACCTTCTTCTCTTCCATCCCATCCCTGTCCCCCTCTCCGCCCTTCTCATTTCTCTGGCTGGGCATGAGGCATGGCCCTTCTCCCTCCTCTCTGCGTTCCTCCCCCTCCGCCGCCTCCTCATCCTGCTCCTCCCCCCCTGCTACTCCTTCAAGAAACTCCTCCTCCTCCTGGCCCTCCCTGGGGAAACCACAAGGTACCGATACCGCTACCCCCCGGACCTCTCCTGGAGTGCATTCGGATACACATTTCAAGGAGAATCCAGCCTTGGCGACGAGGGCTCTCCCGGACGCGCAGCGATATATCGTTCCCTTTTCCTCCCCGGAGCACCCCCTGCCCTTCCCCTCTTGGGCGCCCGAGTTATCCGGGGTAACTCGGGTTTGGATTCCCGAAAAAGGAACCCGAGTTATCCCTGACCCGAGTTACCCCTGATGATTCGGGGCTCTGACCCTCCTCCTCCTCCTCCGCCACTTCCTCCTGCCCCCCTTGGCGCCTCTCCGGCGGTGTCCGTGCGCCGTCGCTCGGCCGGCGTGCCCCGCCGGCGCCGGGAGCGGCCGTGGAGCCGGCGCCGTCGCGCGAGAGCTCCAGCAGGTCGTGGAAATAGGCACCGAGGCACACGGGGAGGGGGGGGAGGGCAGGGAGGAGGGCCCAGACCCCCTCGAGTCGCGGTAAAAGGATGACGGGCAGTTTGTGGTAATTTACACTCTCTGGGGGCCCTCATCAGGCCCCTCAGGGCCCCAGGGCGTCAAAAGACGACCTGGGAAGAAAAACTGGTCCCTGGGAAGGTGTCCAGGCCTCTGGGGGTCGACGGCATGACAAAAACATGGCGTCCAGGGGGCTGGGGGCGGGCCTGCCTGGTCGGATTGTCTGGCTGGGTTGCATCCCTGGTCGGGCAAGCAGTCGTGCGGGCTGGCCCGATCGAGGAGAGAAGAAGGAAGGAGGAGAGGAGGATGAGGTTGAGAGGGAGGGGGACGAAGAGGGGGAAGAGGAGAACCAGAGCAAACCCAGGATGCATCAACGGTGCTGCAATACATCCCCGCGTCCCCAATTCCGTCCTCGTTGACCCCTACGCACATTGGTGTTCAGGTAAACGCCCGCGGGGATAAAGAGATCACAGCATGTCCAAAACTAATCGACCTACATCAATGTAGCTTTGCTTGTGATTTCTTATGCAATGGCTTCTGCTTGGCGGTGGGGGTGTGGACGGAGGAGCGAGAACACGAGAGCGTAACCACCCGACGACTCGCCCAGCGCCAGACTGAAACGCGAAGACTGTAGCTGTTGGAGCCTTTTCAAACGATTCTGCGCGGCGCTGGGGCGAAAACTACATCTTAAACGTGAGACAGGCACGATCTCTATTAAAGAACGTCTTTGTTCCAAGGCATGTCAGAACAGTTCTGACCAGTGCAAATCAAAGCAAATCTTGGCTGTGCTTGGCGTTGATTCGTGCTGCTTGGAATCGTTCCTTCAGTATATGGCATCGTTGCCTGGCAATGCTTGACAATGATGTGCGTTGCCTGGTATTGCACGTCATCGTTGCGTGGCATTGGCTTGGCATCGGTGGGAATTCACTTACATTGCTTGGCGTTGCTTGCAGCATTACTAGCGGCATTGGTTGGCATCGCTTGGCGTCACTTGGTGTTGCTTGGAATTGTTGCCAGGCGTTGCTGTGCACCGGTTGCCCCGAACTCTCTTGGAACAAATGCAATGGAGAGTGCGCTTTGGCGAGGCGACGGACAGCGCCCCCTGGGGCCCAGGGCTGCCAGTTTCCGAAGCCCCGATGGCAAACCAAGAAATGGGTAAACCTGTGGGCAAATGGAAATGGAATAGAGCTTCTGGGGCAGACGGCGTCCCGGCGGAATACTGAAGGCTGTTCCGAATCCCGGTGGATTGGACTGGCTCACAGCGCTGTGCAACGTGTGTTTGGCATCAGAAGAGATCCCGACACAATGGCAGCTGGCGGCAATTAGCACCATTTGCAAAAGCAAGGGGGCAATTGACCAGTGTGACAGCTGTCGGCCGATCAACTTGGTATGCGTTGCGTGCAAAGTAATTGCGAGCCTCTGGTTGGGCTGAAAGAAAGCCGCTGGCGCCGACGAGCGCCTGACTCGAATGCAGTTCGGCTTCTGGCGCGGGAGGAGGCACGACAGATGCCGAGAGACTAAGCCAGTGTTCGCGCCAGGGGGCGCTCGCGCATGCAATGGACAAAGTTCGTGAGTGCCAGGGCTTTACGGGCGGAGGGAAATGACTCAGATCGCCTGCAGTCTCTGTTGCAGGAAGCCCCTGGTGGTTGGCGGCAGGCTGTATAATAATGATGCTGATAGTGCCTCACCTCCCTCGCCCCCCGCCCATCCCTCCCTCCGTCCTCCCTCCCTCCTCCCCCTCCCCCTCTGTAGGCGCGCTGCCTTCCACTTTCGTCTTGGGCCGCCTGGGCCACAGTGGCTTGCGCGCAACAGGTGCCCATTCTGGATGATACGTTTCTGTTGGAATTCGTATATGGAGGCCCGTGTGTTCTTCTCCCCCCCTCTGCCTCCGTCCTCAACCCTCAGCACGGGCCCAGGGCCATGGCAGGTGGGTTTCTGATCTCTGCGCTTCAGCATTTACTGTCTTGAGATGAGTTGGTTTAAGTTAAAGTTAAGACGGGGCCTTAAAGACAAGTGGCGGCCAGAACGCGGGCAGGCCCAGACGGGGCCCGCGTCCCCGAAAGAGGCCGAGCCAGGCGGGCACCGCGGGCGGCGGAAGCCTACTCACCTATGGGAGTAGCAAGCGCAGGCCACAACGATGCACTGTTTCACTCACTCACTCACCCACGGCCTGCTCGCCACGGCGGGCGATGCGGCGGCGTACCCTGCGGTCCTCCAGGGCACCGACCGCTGCCGTGGCCGCGGCGGCGAGCTCCTCTTCGGTGACCCCGAAAGCCCCGAGGGAGACCGCTCGCTCCGCAGCAGGCCGTCGCAGAGGCTGGCTGGCGTTGGCGGCCGCCGCGGGCGCGACCGCGCTCGCCGCCGCAAGGCCCTGCACCACGGTGGGCGCTGCGGCCGCCGCGGAGGCGCTGCCTGCCGAGCTCGCCGCAGCCGAAGGGCCGACCTCTGGCTCGGCCGCAATGCCGAGCCACTCCAGGTACTGCCCCTGCGCATGCTCAGGCAGTGGCCCCTGCGAGCGCAGAGCAGGGATGCCTTCTCCTTTCACTCTGTGCCTGGCAGTGCGGGACCCCTCTTGCCTCCTGCCACCAGGGTGGAGTCCCCGAAGCCATAGGCTGCGCTGGTTCCTGCCACCTTTGCCGGCCTTGTCGCCAGGGCACCGCTCCTTGAGGCGGGGCCTCGCGTCAGAGCGACTGCGACTTCCCGGCGTCATGTAGGCGCCGCGCTTGGCGCATGCCACGAGCTCCTGGGTTCCGCCCCCCTCTCCCGAGCAGTCGTGGGCGAGGGCGTGTCCCAGGATGCTGAAGGCGGCAGCGCTGGCCGAGAGGGCGGCTGCGCTGCTGCCTGCCGAGCGGGCGTTCTTCAGGCGCGGCCGCTTGGCGCTCGGCGCTGGGCATGCGTCCCCCTCCGCTGCCTGCGGCGCCCCCGCAGCGGCGAAACGGACCTGGGGCCGCCCCGCTGCAGGCGGCAGCCCTTCGCAGTCCTTGGCCGCGATGTCCTGCCAGAGGATGGCCGCCCGACTGATCCAGCGCCCTAGCTCCAGCACGATCTCCGCCAGTGCGTGGTGCTCGCCGACCGTCTGCCTGTCCACTGCGTGCATCAGGGCCCCCATCTTGGCGAGGCGGTCAGCATGCTCGTTGCCGCGCCGCTGGGCCTCCGTTAGGCGCCCGCCGAGCACCGCCTGCCGTGAGCAGTGGGCTGGCACGTTCCTCACAGCGAAGGTCCCTGGCTCGAGGCATGCCAAGATCCTGCCCCACAGATGGGCGTTGGCCCTGCTGGGCTTGGTCGCGTAGGCACGCCCCCTGCGCAGGCAGGTCACGGTGGAGCTGCAGTCGAGGTTGACCTCTTCGACTGCTGGCCCTGCAAAGGTGGCGAACATCCACGCTGCGAAGTCCTCGCCGTCCTTGGCAGTCTGCTGCGGGCATAGGTCTCTCCTGACGGTGTCGTAGACCCCTGCGACCAGGTTGCCATCGTCGCCGCACTGCGCAATGGCTCATCCCGCGCGGCGAAGGGCACTGAACTGAGGCTCGAGGGCTGAGCCGTCCAGGTACAGCTTGCCGTTGAGCTTCTCGTCGGCAGGCCTGCTGACCCACTGCGCCCACATGGCGTCAGTGCGGCGACCTTGGGGCGGCGCTGGGGCAGGCAACCAGCAACGGGCAAAGTTCTCGCCAGGGCACTCCCTGTGGGCCCGCGCTCTCTCAGCACACCTCTTCAGCCGTGCGGACACTCCGTCACGCCGCTGGGGCTCCAGCACGGGGCATTCAAACAGGCGGTGCCGCAAGGTGCCTCTCACGGCCCCACAGCGGCAGCAGCGCGCATGTCCTCGCCCTCCTGCGTCGAAGAGCCTGGCCTGCGTCCAGTGCGCGTTGGAGATGTAGGCTCCCGGCGCACTGTTCCCTCACGCTCAGCTCACTGCACGGCCCGAGCAGCCGCCCGATGGCGTCCCAGTACAGGGGCCGCTGCAGGAGGGGGTCGTGGCTGAGCTTACGCATCTCATGGCGATCGGATGCACGCCTGGCGCCGAGGCCAGCCTCCAGCCCTAGCTCACGAGGCCCGAGGAGCAGGAGGTCGAGCTCGTCGCCGAGGTCCGTGACGAGGAAGCGCTCGGACTTGAAGTGCCAGCCGATCCGAGCGAGGGTCAGCACCGCCGCGTCGATGGGGGAGGCGCAGTGCTTCCACAGTGTGTCGGCAGCAGCATGCCTTGCTGCCGCTGCCTCCAACCCCCTCGCCATCATCCTGTGCGGCAGCTCGGCCGGCTGCAGGAGGCTCGCCAGCATCTGGACTGCATGGCCAGCCGTGAGGACTGCGGGGTCAAGGTCACGCCTCCTTCTGAGCTCGGCGCATCGCATGCGGAGCCCAAGCGCAGCGCCCATGGGGAGCGCTCCTGCGCTGCGGCATGCGGCGAGCCTCCAGCTGTGCAGCTCGCCATCCGCGATGCCCGTGACTGTGCGCCCCCACGCCATGCTGGCTGTGGGCACAGCCTTGTGGATGAGGTCCACCTCCACGCCTGCAGCTCGCAAACAGCCCAGCCTGCGCGCGCGGCGAAGTGCACCAGCCGCTCGCACTCGGCCCTCATGCACTCCCCTCCTCGTGATGGTGGCGTCTGTGCCGAGGCTCCTGGCCTGCAAGGTCTTACGGAAGGTCCAGCCCTGCGACTTCCAGAACTCACCCAGCTGGCGTCCCAGGCTGGGACTCGAGGCAAGGAAGGTCGTCTTGGCGGCACTGATGGGCAGGTGCTGGCTGCGGAGGATGCACGCCACTTCCAGCCCAGCTGTGCCAAGCTGCGCAGCGACCAGACGCTCCGTGCCAACGGCCTGCAGCGCGATGTCGTCGACGACTTTGCGTGCCACCACCAGCGGCCTGCCTCCCGCCGAAGCAGCACGGAGGGCCGCAAGCACGGGGAGCTTGGCCACCGTGGTGGCGCACGTGCACCCTGCCAGGACCGTCCCGCTGGTGGTGAAGGACTCGGTGGCCATGCCTACGAAGCAAATGGACCGCGGGCTCTGGTAGAGCACGAGCTAGCCACGCAGCAACTTCAGATTAAAGCCGTGCTCGATCCCGCACTGCCACAGGACGGCGTGCCGCAGGTTCTCGTAGAACTTAGTGTTGTTCAGGAAGAGGCTGGCGGCGGCAAACCCATTCTCCCGCGCGAAGGCGGCAAAGGCGTTGTGCAGCCAGCCCGCCTTCTCGCATCCGCGGTCTGCCTTGCCCCAGAAGAAACGGTGGTCGTGCTCCGCCTCCCACAGCGCACAGGTAGGCTGTCTCAGGCGGCTCCAGATGCGCATGAGCAGTGGGATCAGCGCAATCGGTCGGGCTCCTCCGTCTGCCTTGGGAATGAAGACCATCATGGTGGCCTGGGCGCCCAGCGCTTGGGGCCGCTCCTCGCATGCCTCCAGGAGGTCTAGGCATCGCAACTGCAGGGCTACAGGGAGCAGCAGTAGCTGCCGCGGGTGGATCTGGTCTGCCCCCAGGCCTGCCGTAGGTGAATAGCGCCTGCAGACAGCCTGCAGCATCTCCAGGCTGACGGGGGGCAGGCTCGCTCCTCGGACGTCCCAGCTGCCGACTCCAGCACCCGATTGGAAGCCCTCCTGCTGCCAGAGGGCTTGCCAGTTGGCTTCCAGCTGCCCGACTGCCAACATGCCTGCCAAGGGCCTGCCAGTGTCGGGGTCGACTACCTGCGGGGTCGGCACTGCCTTGGCGAATCTATGGGCCAGCCTGCCACCCTTCTGCACCGCCTCCTTGGCCCATGCCCTCCAGGAGGCCGAGCTCTTGCATCCGTCACGCCTCTGGGAACATGCGAGGCGCCGCTGCAGCACTGCTGTCGCCTCTGGGTCTCCATGAAGGCCAGCTTGGCTGACGAGGTCGCCCCACTCGCTGGTGTCGAAATCGAGGGCCTCGACTTCTTCCTCCTCACAAGCAGCGACCGTGGCAGCCTCCACATCGGCGAGGACCCGCTCGACCTGCCGCTCGTACCAGGCCTCGTGTGCGGGCTGCCACCGCTTCGTCTTGCCTGCGGTGAGCCTCTGGAGAGCGACGTCGAGGGCCTGGCGGATGGCGTGGGTGAGGGCCGAGTGCCGGTGGCGGTACTCGCGCTTGACCACGGCGCTGAGGGGCTTGAGGGCCACCTTAGGGCCCGCCGATCGCCCCAGGTACCTGGGCAGGTCGGAGTCGTCGATGCCGTGGATTCCCACCAAGGTGCTCTCAACTGCTTGGATCCACTGCTGAGCGGCCTCGGAGGCGTCGCTCGGCTGGGAGCCCACCTCCCAGGTCCAGCTGCAGGGCTCCGCTCGCCAGCGGGTGCGCCCCACACGGCGGTGAACCTGCACTGCTGCATCTTCGCGGGGGCGGCACGCAGCTGCGTCGACATCGGGGAAGCGACCAGGACGCGCCAGCACCTGCACAAGGGCGTCGGGTCTAACATCCTGCAGCAGCAGCCTCACAGGCTTGTGGGGGCACAGCCCAAAGCCATCCAGAGCTGAGGCCTCTCTGACGCCGTGGGCCAGGCAGAAGGAACCCACGAACCAGTCGCACACATGTTCCGCACCTTGAGCAGCGCATGTGCACTCGGCGGGTCCCAGGTACGTGCCGCGCTGCGCGCGTGGCCAGCCCAACTCGCGCAGAGTGCCTGGCTCCATGATGAAGTCGCCCTGCGCGAGCCAGGGCATGCCCTCGGACAGCACCATGTCGCCGCAGGCGGCGAAGATGTCGAGGTTGATGCCTTGGGCCCCACGGCGTCCTGCAAATGCAGCGAGCATGCCAGGAACTGCAGCCCTGACGCCGTGGTGATGGTGACCCCGATCATGCGATGCCTCAAGTCAGTCGGCGCCGTCCACGCACTCTCCGCTGCTTGCAGGCCACTGCGCGCCAGGGTCGCCACGCCGCCTGAGTTCGCGAGCGGGCCTTCCTTGTCCGTGGGCGCTGCCGCGTGGAGGAGCGCCGTATACCCCATGCGCCGCGCAGCGCTCCTGGCTTCCTCCAGGCGGGGCATGGCCAGGCGGGTCTCCTGAAGTATGACCAGGTGCAGCCTTGCCCCGTGCCTCTCGATGAAGGCCTCGATGACCTCCAGGCTCCTCCGCCACGTGTTGCCGTTGACCCCGAGCACCTCGAGCCCACATCGGACATCCAGTGCTGCCGTCGCCGCTTGGCCTGGCGCCTGCGGCCCCTGTGCCTTGCCGAGGTCGAGGGGCCGCTGGCCTCCTATGCGGGCCGCATCGGCGCCGCCGCCCGTGCGCTGCCTCGGCTCCGACGCTCTGGTGCTGCTAAATGCACGACTGCCCTGGCCTTGAACCTCCGCTGCGGCTCCTGGCTGCGGGCCCAGCAGGGCGAGGAGCAAGAGGGACCAGGTCAACGGCTTCGGCCACCAGCTCCCGCTTGGACGCCTGGGCGACCTTCGGCCACTCGCCGCGGGCGTCTCCGCGGCGCTCTGCCGGGCCGCGCTCCGCGGCGCTCTGCGGCTGCCAGGGCTCGGCAGCTCCTGCGTGGGTGCTGTCCTCGCTGCTGATCTCCTCCATGGGGCATGACTCGGCCCATGGCGCCCTCCTTGGTGTGCAGGGGCTTGGGCGATCCTGCCCACTCGGCTGCCCGCTGTCGCCGCAGCGCCTCTGCCTCTGCGCGGGCGTCCTCCTCGAGGGCGCGGACAGCACGGGGTGCCTCCTCCAGCTCCGCGTCGAGCTGCGCCAGCTCCTGCTGCGCCTTCTGGAGCTGGGCCTCGGCGAGGTCGCGCGCTGTCTGTTTCTGCTCCAGGCTCTGGCGCGCGGCACGGAGCCGCCTCTCTCCCTTGCTGATGGCGTTCGCCTCTTTGCGGAGCAGCGTCGACCGCGGCAGGGAGGACGCCTTCTGCTCCGCTGCTGCCCTCTGGGCCGCGTCCAGCTCGGCGCGCTTGGCCTCCAGCTGGCTGGCGACGACGTCGGTGAAGCAGCTGTCCACGCCGTCGGGCGGCCCCGCCTGCAGCGCCTCCAGCTGCTCGACCGCTGCCTGCAGCCTCTCGATAGCTGTGGCGCCGCCGCCGCTGGGCGTCCCGCTGTCTCCCGACGCCGAGGTCTGCGACTCAGTGGAGGCCGCGCTCGCCGCTGCACCGCGGGCCTGCCTCTGGGCGCGGCGCCCGCGTGGCTGGTCCACCCAGCCGTCCTTGTCCGCCTGGGGCCTGGCCCTGGCTGCAGCGGCATCCAGCACCCACGGCGGCGCCGCGTAGCCGCAGCCGAGGCACGGGGCACGCCAGTCCCAATTCCAACCACCGCAGTTGCACATCCAGTACGTCATGCTGCGCCTGCTGCCACCGCCGCCGCAGCGCAGGGGGCGCGCCATGGCCACTGCCGCGCTGGCCGACAGGAAACGCCTCCGCGCGGGTAGAACAGGGAGCGAAACAAAGAATTGCACTGGCCCAAAGCGAGGATACCCTCGCGCTCAGGACGCCGCGGACGACTTGCGGTCGTCGGGTGCTCCATGGCCTTGAGCCAAAATTGCTACGGACTCAGATGAGTTGGTTCAGTCAAGAGGTGCGGTGGTCTGTCCGAGGTACCCTGTCGGGATGTCTCCCCCGACAGAGAGACCTGCAACACAAGCGTCCCGATGACAAGTGCACGTCCAAAATTTCTCGGTTCGAACACGCACGTTCCCCCCACTCTGTGAATGAAGATGTAGCTCTCCCTCGCGCGGCTCCGGAACGAAGCGTCCGGCGCCTGCTCCCCGAGGCACTGCATTGGCTCGGCGTCTGCATGCGTATCTTCCTGCATGAGTTTTAAGGTACGTATTCAGCATTATTCGGGGATGGACAAACCTCCCTTTAGTAAAACGTGGTTTAGTGAAAACGATTTCGGGCCCAAACCTGGCGGGCGCAAGCCTGGAAAATAACGGCCACGGCGCCCTCTCGAAAACCGAAAACGGACAATTCACTAATCGACGTGTCACTGTTGGGGGTTCTGTCCACCCCCGAATTATATTGTCTGCCGATGCGCCGTCAGGGCACGGCTCTTGCCTGCCTGAGATGTTTTTCCATTGCGTACAAGATGAACGTCGATGGCGGGAATTAGTCGAGAACCACATCAACAAGCTCTGATGCTTGCGAGCCCTCGCGGGCACGCCTACTGATGAACTAACTATCGCTACATAATTGTTTCCGTCTCGTCTTGTTTCGTCCTCTCCCCCCCTGCAGTGCAAGATGTGCTGAGCTTATCTTCCCGCCCACGCGCCAGACGGCGTATAGCTTGAGTGCGAGTGCAAGTGCGAGTTGCCCCGAGGAGCACCGAGCAGCGTGGGAGGCCGCCTCTGTCGAAGGGCCCTGCACCCCGAGCAACCCCGAGCAACCTCGATGCCGGGGTCCGTCTCCGACGCGGGAGCAAATCCAAATTGGGGAACCATTCAGCCACCGCCCGTGTGACAGCGTGAAGCTTTGAAAAAGAGTGTGCGCGGCACCAGGGCTAATTACGCTGCGCCAACACAAAAACAATAATCTATGAATGACGGCCCCAAGTGCAATGCTCCGAGTAAGCGATCCACACCGGCAGAGCGGTCCTCGCCCCAAGGCGCCTCATCCTCCATGTCCTCCTCCTCCTCCTCCTTCTCCTCCTTCTCCTCCTCCCCCTCCTTCTCCTCCTCCCCCATCCTCCTCCTACTCCTCCTCCTCCTCCTCCTCCTCCTCCTCCTCCTCATCCCTCAGTTCCCGTTGGTTCAACCCTCTCGCCGCTGGGCCGCGCCTCGGGCGCCTCAGTCGCCGCGACGCCGAGGCGGCCCGCGGCGCTCACGCAGCCGACTGGGCCCCGCGCTCCCGAGGCGGCCCGCGGGCACCCCACGGCGGTGCACGCGGCAGCGGGGCTCAAGGGCAGCGTTGCGCGCGGCCGTGTCGGATCTGCGGTGCGCCGCCACGAAGCAGCCCGCGACTCTGCACCCGCCGCTGCGCCACACGCCTCGCTGCGTTCGAGACCCATCCCGGCCATCTCGACTGCAACTCTCCAAATAATGTCCCGAGATCCCGCCTGGGCGCCTCGGGCTCCGGCGTCAAGCCAGCTCACGCCTGAGCCGCCCCTTTCGGGGGAGCTTGGACTGGATCCTACGTAAGCACCTCAGTGCCGACCATCGGTGGCGGCGTGGACGAGGCGGCTGGGCCCGCCTGCGCAGCGGCAGCAAACCCGCGCCCGCGCAGGTCCCGCGTCCGCGCGGCAGCAGCAGGCGAACGTCGGCAGCAGGAACCCGTCGTAACCCCAGCAGCTGGGCGCATAGCGCGCCCGTTCGGCCCTAGGGCCTCAGCCCGTGGCCGCGCCCAGCTGCGTTCCACTCCCTCTCGAGGGCGGCGCCGATGCCAGCGTGGCCGCAAGAACTGCGTCCTCGGCGTGCCTCTGCAGCACGCTGCCGGAGCTCAGCTGCGGCTGCCACATGGCCGCGGAGTGGGCCACGCCCCCCGTGGGCGCGAGCCGCCGCACGAGGGCCGCCGCGTCCTGCCTTCTACAATTAATCAACAATTACTCAATATGAAAATACTCTCCCTCTTCCCCTGATGGCGTCCGGGTGATGGCCGCGCACCCTCCGCGTACTGTTTTTTTACACACAGGATTCCCGGGAAATCCCGGGAAACGACTCTCGCTGAGGCGCCGGCGTCATTTTTTCCCAAAATGCTGCTCTCGTTGAGGCGCCGGCCTCATTTCTGCTCCCGAATCGTTCCGAATCGTGCTCCCGCTGCAGCGTGGGCCTCATTTTCGGATCGGTGTTTGGCCTCCGTCGTTCAGGATGGCGTTCTCGCCCCAGCGCGGGCCTTTTTCTCGCGCGCCCATCCGCCCGCCACCACCGCGCCGCACCGCCACCACCACCACCACCACCACCACCACCACCACCACACCACCACCACCAGCACCAGCACCAGTACCAACCACCACCACCACCACCACCAGCACCACCACCACACACCATCACCACCACCACCACCACCACCACCACCACCCACCACCACCACCACCACCACCACCACCACCACGACAACCACGCACACACGCACGCACGCACGCACGTGCACCACCACCCACTACGCACGCGCGCGCGGAGCCACAGGTCCGCTACGACACGCGTCCGCGGATAGAGAAAATCAGCGCCATGGTAAGGGATGGGAGGGAGGGGTAGGACGTCAGATATGACGCGAGCGCACCTAGCTTGTCCTCCTCCTCCTCCTCCTCCTCCTTCTCCTCCTCCTCCTCCTCCGCTTCCTTTTCCTCCCCCCACCCTCCCTCCCCCCCTGCAGGCGGGAGGCGGGCGCCGGTGAAGTACCGCGAGCCGCCGAAGAGCAACACCCGGGCGCCTGTCACCCGGAGGGGCCCTCGCGAACCCTGTCAAATCAAGTTTTTCCTCCTGTTGTAATCCTCCTCCTCTTCCTCCCTTCCCTCCTCCTCCTCCTCCTCCTCCTGCGGCAGCCAGTCCTCCTCCTTCTCCTCTCTCCTCCTCCTCCTCCTCCTCCTCCTCCTCCTCCTCCTCCTTCACTTCCTCCTCTTGCCCCCCATCATTGTTCGACTCCTCCTCACCATCCTCCTCCTCCACCTGATCCTCCTTCTACTTCCCTTCCTCCACCATCGACTCCTCTTTCGAAGATGAGTCGAAGGACTAAAAGAAAAAAACAGAAAACACAGCGGCGCACTTTTCCGTCGCGGCGCGGCAGGGGCAATCCGTCCGCGCGAGTAGCAACACCGGGCTACGGAGTCGCGAAGTGGCCAGCATGCAAGAGGAGAAGCACAAGAAGAGAGAGCGGCCGCAGAGAGGGGGCCGGAGCACCCAGGGCAGCTCCAGTAGACAAAAAGATACATTTTCCGATTGGGTCTGCGATGTGTTCGCGCTCTTTCCGTCTTCGAATCTCGGAGGCCCATGACGGCCCAAGCAGCCTCCAGTATGGTCCCAAGACGGCCCGAGAGGCTCCCGAGAGGGCTTGAAGACAGCACTAGAGGGACCTAAGGTGTCCCAAGTATGCCACCAAGGCGGCTCTGGAGGCCCCCCACACGGCCCAAGAGGACCCCCCCAAACCACAAGGCAGCCCTGAGAGGCCCCCCGAAAGGGCTCCGAAGGGGCCAGACGGCGCAAGAGCGCCCGATGACGGCCCAAGAGGCTGCAAAGAGGCCCCAAAGAGGCCGCCAAGAGGTCCCCAAGAACCCCCATGAAGCTTCCAAGAAGCCTTAAAGAAGTAGGGCTCATTCACGGACTTGTATCTCACGGACTTGTAGCTCATCCGTATGTGTAGCCTTAAAAACCACCAAGATATTCACGGACTTGTAGCTCATCCGAATTTGAACTTGGCGTTGGCTTGTGCGAGCACGCGGTGAATGCTTATTGCCCTCGTGGACTTTCGCACGGTCGTCCCGGCGCTGAAACGGGGGGGGGAGGGGGTCGCATCCGCCCTCCGTGGCGCTGGCAGCGCCACGGCAAAACTTCGCGGCAACCGAACAGGGCAAACCACCTAACGCCCAGTCTTTTCGTTCTCTGGACGTGCAGCCCGCGAAGCGAGAAGAATCCCTCCGTGCATGAAAAAGCTGCAGAGGGGGAGGGGGGGAGGAGGAGGAGGAGGAGGAGGAGGAGGAGGAGGAGGAGGAGGAGGAGGAGGAGGAGGAGAATGAGGAAACGCATGAACAGGTCAAGGAATACCCCGGCAAGTGGACGCGGCATGCGGTGTTGCGCTGAAGCCCTTGACGGCCCCATGCGGCCAGTACTACAATCCATCGCCACATGAAGTGGTAAGGCGAAGAGGAGGAATGCAAGGAGGAGGAGGAGGACGAGGAGGAGGAGGAATAGGAGGAGGAAGTGGGGGAATGGGGATCGGTTATTAGACGATGCTGGTCCATCCCTCTTCCGTCCTCATCGCTCTAGTCGTCGTCGTCGTCGTCGTCGCTGCCAGTGCAACTGCCGCCGTCGCCATCGGCGCCTGCGCCGCCGGGCACGACCAACGCAGCGGCGTGGGAGCGGAGCAGCGTGTCAGCGGGCTCTGGCACGCCCGACCACGAGGACCCCTCGGGCACAGGCGGACGGGGGGATGAGGAGGCCAGGTGGACTGGAGGTAGTTCCTCCTCCTCCTCTGCCTCGCCCTCCGCCCCTGTTGAACGAGGAAAGCGCAGCGGATGAGGGGGAGAAGGAGGAGGAGGAGGATCGTTGAGGACAGAGGGAAGACGGCAGGGGAGGAAGAGGAGAATGGAACCAGGCGGGGGGGAGGGAGGGAGGGCGTCAGCGTGGAGAAAGAAAAGGCGGGGCGCCCGACCACGAGGATCGTCGCAACGAGGCGCGGAATGGGGGGGAGCCGCCCCCCACTCGTGATCCTCCTCCTTCTTTTCCTCCTCCCCCTCCTCCACCACCTCCTCGGGTGGGGGCTGGGGCGGGGCAGGGGGGAGGGGCGCGAGGGGGGAAGGGGGGGGAGGAGGAAACAGACGATGAAGACAGGAGGCGGAGAGTGAGGGGAGGCGGAAAATATTGAATATGACGGCGATGAGGATGACGATGATGCTGTTGTAGATGATGATGAGGATCATGACGTTTCATTCTTTTATGTATACCCCATGTGAGCACCAAGGACAGCACAAGTGCACGGAAGGGAATTATCAATCCTGGATATCGGGCCCGCGGTCCACAACAAGCCGTCGCCCAACAAACCCCGTGTCTGATCACACCACACGAGCATGTACAACATAAAGAGAAAGTGGGGCTGCATGACGCTGGCCTCCTGAGCGCAACCCGTCCCATAGTGCCAATTTACTTCAGGAGGGGAAAGGCGCTAGGGACCCTCGAGGACTGACCTCTAGGCGCCGCTCACGTCATGCGAGGTGGACAGTGAACCGTTTCAGCCAAGCATAGTGAAAGTTTGGAAGACCTCAAGACCCTTCTTGCGCAGCGTTTCCAGGGACGGGGAAGGCGACACCGCTGCGATGCTATCCTGCGTGATGTAGTAGATGGCGTTTGTCCCTCCTTCATACGATCAATCGACTCCTCCCGGCTGATCGTCTCATCTCCAGACTTCGTGACGTGGCAGCGCATAAAACTCCCCGAGCTTAGTACGGTTGGTGGATTCCTCGTGTACGCCCAGCTTGAGGCACTTCCCACATTGCTCGCACAAATTCTTGTAGCCATCCTTCTGCTCGGCAGCCTCAGTGAGAATCTCGAGGCACTTCTAGGCGAAGTTATTCTTTCCGCACGCGCAACATATTGTTTTGCTGCGGCGTCTCACGGGATGGGTTCAGCGACTTGCTGAAAATGGTGATGCTGGTGACGAGAGCGTTGATGATAATCGCGAGCGGCCAAGAGGGCAGTGTCCATAGGGGGGGGGTGCAAATCATGACCAGAGGCACGTGCGCGGCACAGCGGGGGAGCCAGGGACGTAATGGAATAAGAAGAGGCGCCAGGAAATCTGGGGAGATCTCATGGCCCCCGCCATGATATCAATCCCCCCCTAGTCATCACCCCCCCTTTTTGCCGCCCCCGAGATAAGGATGGTGGTGATGGAAATGGGGTGCTGGTGATGTTGATGTTGGCGATGGTGACCATCATGCTGATGATGCTGATGTAAAGGAAGGGGGGACGGAGATAATGAAGTCGAGCAGGGGAGAGATACTATGGGAATGATGCTGATGAGAAGGCGACGTCGGAAGAGAAATGGAGGGGGAGGAGGAAATGGTGGAGGATGAGAGGAGAGTGAGGTGGGGCGAGGAAGCGAAGACGTGGAAAAGGAAGATGTTGATAATGAAACTGATGCTGATGATGGTGATGATGATGATGATGCTGATGATGATGATGATGATGATGATGATGGTGGCGGTGATGTTGCGGATGATGCTGATGGTGATGATGCAAATGATGATGATGATGATGATGATGATGATGATGATGATGATGATGATGATGATGATGATGATGATGACGATAATGACGGTAAGGTTGACAGCGCGGATGATGGTGATGATAACGATGATGGGGGCGCGCCGCTGGATCACCCCAAGGGGGGGGGAACCCCCACCCCCTTTCCCCGATCCGTCGTCGGGGACCGTCGTCGGGGAACCCCTCCCCCCTCCCCCCCAGTCTCGATCCGTCGTCGGGGACGCCCCCCCCCGCCCTCCCCCCCTTTCCCGGTCCGTCGTCGGGGAATCCCCCCCCCCTCCCCCCCTTTCGCCACGGCGCCCCCGGTCTGCGGAACCCGACCCCTACCACCCCTAACACTAATCCTCACCCTTGCCCATAACCCCTAGACCTAAACCCAAACCCAAACCTTAGCCCCAAACAGTACTCACTACTCATTACGCACTACTCACTACCCACAATGACTACTCGCTACCCACTACTCACTTCTCACTATTCACTACTCGCGACTCACTACTCACTACCCATGACTCACTACCCACGACGCACTACTCATTACTTCCTACTCCCTACCCACTACTCACGACTCACTACAAACTACTCACTACCCACTACCCGCTGTTCAAACACACTAGACACAACTCCCTAAAAACTACTCGCTAATCACTTCTCACTACTCACTACCCAGTAACCACTGTCCACTACTCACTACATTCACACTTCACTACTCACTACTCCCTGCCCGCAACTCACTATTCGCTACTCGCTACTCCTTACTCCCTACAAAGTACGCACTACTCACTACTCACTACTTGCTACTCCCTACGCCCTACTCGCGACCCAATACGCACAATTCACGACCCACTATTCACTACTCATGAGGCTCCCACTACTCACCACTCACTACTTCCTACTCCCTACTCACTACTCTCAACGCACTACTCACTACTCACTACCCACTACTCAATACTCACTACTCACTGAAAACTACTCACTGCCCACTACTCACTAATCACTAAGCACTACTCACTACCCACTAACCACTATCCACTACTTACTACTGAGAACTCACAACTGCACCACTCACTAAACACTGTCGAGAACTCACTACTCACTATCCGCTACTCGCTACCCCATAAGACATATTCACTACCCACTACGCACTACCCGCTACTCACCACTCACTACTCCCTGCCCCCTACTCACTAGTCACTAGTTGCAAAGTCGCTACTCAAAACTCACTACTCACTACTCGCGACTCCATACCCACTGATTTCTACTCGCTTCTCCCTACTCGTTACCGACTACTCAATACCCATTTTTCGCGTCTCACTCACTACTCACTACCCACTACTCCCTACTCACTACTCACAACTCACCACCCGCCACTCACTACTCACTACCCGCTACGCACTACTCCCTACTCACTACTCACTACTGGCTCCTGACCACTCCCTCCTCACTACCTCAGTGCTCACGACTCACAGCGCCCTATTCGCTACTCGCTACTCACAACTCGCTACCCCCTACTCGCTACAGCCTACTCGTTACTCGCTACTCGCCACCCACCTCTCACTACTCACTACTCACTACTCACTGCGCACTACTCACTACTCACTACTCACTACCCGCTCCTCGCTATTCGCTGCTGTCTACTCCCTCACCCCCTACTCCCTGTCCACTACCCACTATGTACTATTCACGACACACTACTCACTCCTCACTACTCACTACTCACAATTTCTTACCCACTACTTCCTTCCCGCTACCCACTACCCGCTACTCACTACTCGCGACTCACTGATCTCCACGCGCTACTCACTACTACCACTACCCATTGCCCACTACTCACTACTCACGACTCACTGCGCACTACTTACTATCAAATACCCACGACCCACCAATCGCTTCTCAAAACACTTTACTCCCTCCCCAGCCCCCTGTTCAGCGCAATCGGGGGGAGGGGGGGGGGGGTCGACCCCCCCCCCTTTTCCAGCGCCAAGGGGGGGAGGGGGGAGGGGGGGTGTTGACCCCCCCCCTTCAAGGGAGGGGGGGGTCGAACATCTCCCCCTCCCCCCCCTTTAGAAGGGGGGGAGGGGGGGGGTCTGCGAGCACACACCCCCTTTAGTGTATTCAGGGCCATCCACTGGCGCGCTTTCGACGATGATGATGCTGATGATGATGATGATGATGTTGATGATGACGATGGTGATGGTGAGGGTGATGATGTTGATGAAAAAGATACTAGATATGAGGCTCGTGGTGCTGTTGTGGAGGAGGAGGGGAAGGGGCACGGAGAGGTTGAAGTCGACTAAAGGAGATTAGGGGGATAATGCTGATAAGAAGGCGGCAGAGGAAGAGAAATGGAGGAGGGGGGAGGGAGGAGAGGGTAAGGGGGGAGGATGGGGGCAGGTGGAGGATGGGGGAGGATGAGGGAGGGTAAGGGGGGAGAGGAGGAGGAGGAGGAGGAGGAGGAGGAGGAGGAGGAGGAGGATGAGGAGGATTATGCTGAAGAGGAGTATGAGGGTGATGATGGCGAGGCTGGTGGTGATAATGATGATGCTGCTGATGATATGGATGCTAGTGATGCTGGTTAGGATGATGATTATGGCGATGCGGGGCTGAATGATGAGGAAGACGGCGAGGACTTTGCCCCCACTCGTACACCTGTAACATCTTTTACCTGTTTGTTTTTTGAAGGAGTTGAGGGCGGCGTGAGAGCCTGTGCGCCGATGGAGGAGGGGGCGACTCAACGGCAACCTCATCAGCATGGGGGTAATGATACGGGAGGTAACGGTGGATGCAAGTATCAGGACACATAGGGATGGAAAAGGAAGGCGAAGCAGGTCAAACACACGGAAGGGTAAATCAAGAAAGGGGGGCAGTGAGGAGGGATGGGGGAGAGCCTGGAGGAGGGGGAAAGGGACGATGATGAATATATGAACAGATCAGAAGGATGAACATGACACGACGAGGCAATATAATCTGTCCCCCTGCTCCCACAGTCCCTCCATGGCCCCTCCCCCTGGTCCTCGTGGGAAGGGGGAAGGGAGAGAGACGAGCGACGCGCTTAGAGGAAGTGAGTGTGGGGAAGAGAGAACATGGCGAGTGTGGCTGCTCCTGCGAGCGATCTGACACGAAACTGACGTGCGCAAATATGTGCTGGGGGGCGGCGTGAACGTGGCCGATGTTCTGTGCACGTCCTGGCGACACGCAGCACAGACAGCAGAAACAGGCCAACTCTGGCGGCCGCGGCCCAAGTTCGGTCCCTGGGCAGAAGCCCATGGTATTGACAAACGACGGGGCTGGAGGAAGAACCAAAAGGCATGAGGATACACTTTCGGCGGTCCGCGCGGATTTATTGGATCGGCGCTAGACCTCCCCCCGCAGGGCACGCAGAGCGCCAAAGGCGGCGCATGAGGCGACGACACGAGAAATCCGCGCGGAGCTACAAGGGTTTATGGTTATGCTGTTCCTTTCGTCGAGTGGCCTACTCTGATGGCCGTGGCCCTGGCCTTGGCCCTGGGCAGAGGCCAACGAAGTGGAAGACTTGCGTCACTAACCCCGAACATCCTCCGATACGAGCGGGATTTGTTCAACCTGCGGCCCCAAAGCTTCCGACCCCTGCTCCGTGGGCAGCTCTGCGTCCCAGAACCATTCTCAGTGCCCCAGCTCCCAACAGCGGCCCCCGTGGAGGCCGAAATGAGGCCGATTGGACAACATCACAGCGTTGGAAGTCTGGGACTGTGCCTCCTCTCGAGGAGAAACAAAAAACACATCATACAAGCGTTAACTTTCGGAGGTCCGCGCTCATTTTTAGGATCGGCGCTGGAGCCGAGAAATCAGCGCGGACCTCCGAACGTCTCTGTGTATGCCGTGTGATGTTCCTCGCTCCTCGTCGTTCTCAGCAGCCGTGAACCATGGTGCTCATCTAATGGCATCACCGCGGGGCAGGGGCGAGGATGAGGGCGGGCAAACCGCCTCGCAGTCCCACCGCTGCGCCACCAGGTCGAATCGCCAAAGCCGAGCGAGCGACGAGTACCTTGGCGCTGCGGGAAACATGGCCGACACTTTTGATTATGTTTTGGCCTCTGGAGCCTCTCGCTGGGCCCTGGGACCGGCAAAATGCGACTGGGGTTGACAAGCTGGTCCTGGGGAGAATCGGGTCAAGAACGGGAGCCACGTCCTGAGTAAATCGCGGCGTCGGTGGTGTGAGAAAAAACAGTAAACACCCAGGACCAGAACAGCTGCCATGAGAAATCTGGAGGCGCATTCTCCGTCGACCTCTGGAGGGCCCAAGGGTGCCTCAAAGCTTCTGCGGGGCCCCACAGGGCCATCGGGGGACAAAACGCTCTCGTGGAGCACCAGCTGGCTGGCCAGTTTCTGATGTGGGGCGAGGGCTGTAGCAGCGGAAACGGGGGGGGGGGCAGACGGGCAGATAAAAAAGGCCGCTCACGTTCATCCTTGCCCTCCTCTTGTCTCTCTCTCTCTCTCTCTCTCTCTCGGCGGGGAGGAGGAGGAGGACGAGGAGGAGGACGAGGAGGAGAGGGATGATGGGGAGGAGCACGGCGGGGGAGCAAGCAGGGAACACGACGACACAAAAAAACATTCGATCCATAGATTGCAACACCACCTGGGACCACCCATCGCGACATGCTGACAACGCACACGAAACAAAAAGGCTGGATTCGGGTGGCTTTCAGCAGCGGACGGCTCTCCCACCGTGCAGCTGGAAAACAGGTTGGCTAAATGGTCGCCCTGACAATGCTGTCTGCTCGAAAGAACCCCTGGTGCTGCTTTTTCCGTCCTGCGCGGGGAAGCCCAAAATCAGATTGAGAAGTGGAACCGAGACCCCAAGACAGGCTTGGTCTTAAGACCCTGGAACAGACGGGAAGAAATCGAGGCGGAGGAGGAGGAGGGGCCCGAAGGCCCATTTCTACACTCTTAGCCCGGGCATGTGCTGCAAAAGTTCCACCCTCATCCTGAGGAAGACCCTCGAACAAAAAAGGCCCTCGCCCCTGACTTTTCAAGCGAGAAGCTCTTCGGCACCTCGCTTCGGTCGCGCAACACTGCCGGCTGCAGAACCCCTCGAACCAGCAATTCCAAAGAGCGGCAACTCCACACAAAGGTTAGCGGAAAGAGGCGTTGGCCCTACGCGTATTTTCGCGGCAGCCCGACCCACAGGGAGAGGAAGAGGTTCAGTAGTACCCTTGAATTTGAAAGCGCTCCTGCAAACGAGCAGCGCCACGTTCGAGAGATCCTTCCGGCGCGGCCCCATGTTTGCGACCCCCCTCCCGCCCGCCTTCACATGCGACTCGGTTGCCAACTCGAGAGCACGGTGCTGGGCGCCAACTGCCAGGGTGATCCGAAACATCTATGGTTTGTTACCGGCCTTCGTCTAATGGGGCGCGCTCTGCGAGCGCGAACTTCTTTGGCTAGCTCGACCGCGGGCCTCGCCATGACAGCGTTCTGCCAAACATCCTCGCGAGTCTCCTCAGCGTCGGGCCAATTGGGGGCCGCGCCCGTCCCGCGGATCATCGCACTCCACGCGCGCAGGGAAGGGGGCTTGATATTGTCCTTGTCGCCTGCTTCCGACATCTGCTGAACTTCGGCGTCTCACGCTAAACCTGCGGCATGTGCTGCCTGCTTTGACGGCGGGGCACGAGGCGCAAGTCAACCGCGTCTGGAGCACAACCCCGCGCTCTTCGCGCAGCGCCGCTGCGTTGCTCAACGCGAGCTTGGTCAACGTGACGATTCATAGTTTGAGATCGCCAACTTTCCGCCGCCTCTGGCCGACTGAGACCCCTCGTCTACCAACGATTCTGCAGCCTCGCCCGCGCGCCTGATTTTCCGCCTCGGCCCCTCGCCCGCGAGCGCCCAGGACGGCCTCTGACCCGCGGCGCGGGGGCGCCCGAGAGACCCCCCCGAGACGCGCGCAGAGGTGCTTCGACAAAAAGCCCGAAAAGTCCAGCTACAAGCGGCCGCAGTGGGGGGGCGAGCGACGTCGGCGCGCGCAGTCCTCGCAGATTGCGACCATCATTAGGGTGGCACTCTCCTCGTCTAAGACTCTGCGACAAGTTGCGGCGACAACGCCCGCGATGAGCAAAGACCGGACTCAGGTCGGGCACGTCCTCCTACGGGCGGGTTGTTGCAGAAACGTCAACGACGCTAAGCCGAGATCGAAGCCACTGGGGGGTCGATTCGGCAACAACTCTTCGCCCGCCTCGGAATCCGAGAAGGCGAAGGACACCGTGTCGCACGCGCGCCCGAGGATGGGCGGTTCATCATCGATTTCAGCCAATGCGTGAAACAATTCCAAATATTTGGCGGACTCACGGCGACGCGCGCCTCGCCGGTCGCTCTGGGGACGGAACCGCAGGATCTGCATCTTCAAAATATCCGAGTAGAGCGATGAAAACTCGTTGCTTCGTGAGAGGAGTTCGCGACAGCGACTGCCGGCAACGACAGCGACGACCTGCGGGCCCCGCGCCCAGCGGCGCGATTCGCCGCCAACGAAACGCCGCAGCAGAGATCATAGACTCGCGGTGCCAATCGGCCTCTTTATCGCAAGCCCCCCCCCCCCCCCCCATGGTTTCTCTAGGAGGCGCAGGCCACCGCGTGGACCATTCTCGCGAGGTTGAACCCCCCAACCCAGAGAGAGCGGCAACGCCGACGAGATATGCAGGGAACGCTCCAGAAGCCTCCAGGGGGGCGCCATGCACTGCGCCGCGCGCGCGGCACCGCTGGGCCGCGCCAAGGCCGCGGCGCCGCGGCCGTCGCGCCAGCGGCGACGCGGCGGCGGCAGCGGCCGCGGCCAGGCGAGCGCTGCTGGCAGTTCCGCGCATTAGCTCCGCCGCGGCGGCCTGCGCGCTGCCTGATTCATTGAGCGCGCGCAGCTGGGCGGCGAGCCGCGAGCCTGCCCCCCCCCGCCCCTGCCTCCTGCCTCCTGCCCCTGGGCCGCAGGGCGCGGCCGGGCGGCGACGGCGCGGAGCTTTCCCCTTGTATTTCAATTCAGGCCGAAGCCCCATCGCCTCTTCAGATGCGAATCAATTTCGGGCTCTCGCTTTCCAACGAAACACTGCCAAGAAATGCAGCGGGGCCGCCCCGAACCTCCCGGGGCCCAGAGGCGACCCCAGGACAGCGGAAAGACAAGTGCGCGTCTTGCTTCCTCAAGTGCCGCCGAGTCCAAAGAGCAAGATCTAACTCCTGGTTGGGCCCCGTAGACCTATTGATCGAGATCGTCGCGCTCGGCCCTACGTACTTCTTAGTCAAGGCGGCAACGTATTTTTGCCGGGAAGATGTCCACGGGCTGGCCCGCAACTGGACAGCGAGCGCGCATTAGGAGTGGAGAGCGGATCCGACAGATGCGCGCGGGCGAAAGCGTTCGAAGCGAATCAGTCGCGCGCGAGGCCCCCACAGCGCGGTAGCACGACGACGCCATCACTCCCTTGAGAATCGCCATCGCGAAAACCATTCGCTGAATCCCATCCCCCCTATTCTGTGCGCGAAGAAGGTCAGGCGCAACCTTCCGCGCGCACGGCCCATCGCTAGAGCCCGCCGCGTCTGTGATATCGCGGGCGTCGGTGACATATGAGCCAACGCTGCGCGAGTCGCCAGCCCGTCATATTCTGAACTTCGAGAGCCCCTTCCCTCATCCGATGCTGTAGGAAGCTATGGTCCTCAATTGAAGCCTGAAGGTGGCCTCGTTGCCCCATGAGCCCGACCGCCCACGCGCTCCCAAACGGATCTGGCAAAAGCACCCACCTCGACCTTCCATCGGGTCGAAGAAGCGGAACGCCTCCACTGACGCGGCTGCGAAGAGGAGCTCAAGCGACCGCGTCGCACGAGCGACAACGCACACAATGGCAGATCTTGTCTCCGGAAGGCCTTCCCCGCGATGCTGCCAGGACTTCCCAGCATGTGAGAGCATCCGCAGAAACTCCAGGAGGGGGGCGCCACTCCGGAACGGGCGCGTCCTTTACATGCTTCGTCGATGGCGGAAGTCAGAAGCGCGTGGCCCCGACGGGCTACGGGAACCTCTACCCCCCACAAAAACGACAACTTCGAAACACCCCCTGTGGAATCTCCTCCTTCCAAGAATCCTGGGACTCAACCGCGCGACTTTCGGTCCCGCCACCATGCCTTTTCTTCGAAGACTGGACCACAGCTCGATCATCTCTGTTCTCCTGGGGCCCCACTGAGACCCAGCAAGTCACCGAGCTAGCCTCGAGGCCTCCGCCAGGCACCTAGATGTCCGACAGGCTCCTGCTGCACAGCAAATCGCCCCTGCCGTCGCTGCTGGCGAATGCACTTTGCCAAGGGCCGAAGCTGTGCGGCGAGACTCTCCGCCTCGTCCTCGGCCGTTCCCTCGAGCCGGCGACGCAGCCGAAGGCGTTCAGCACCAAGCTTGCCGGAATCGTTGGCGATCATCACCAGTAAACTTGGCTCACATGAAGACAGTCACCAATCATCATCGACATCATGCGATCAGAGACAGAGTCGCCCGTGGCAGCGGCAAAGCCAGTTTACATATTGACACCTTCAGCCTGAAGCCGGTCACAAAAAGCCTCCAGAAACTCTCGTCATCGAACAACTCCTCGGACACATCGCACAATCGGATCGAAGTTCCAGAAAGGCAGCTGCTTCTGAACCTCAGGGGCACCAACAGGCGCCAGCGCAAAAAGCTAAGACGCCGTGCGCCACAAAGCGATCGCATGGCCGAGATTTTGGAATTAGTTGCAAGTCTTAGCTGGCGCACGGAGCGGACCCGCAGCCTTCATCGCTTGCACGAGGGGCCAAAAATGACACGCATAGTTGATCATCGAAGTGTGGCCAGTGGTCGAGTGGAACGTCGATGCGAAGCCGCTGAACGTGTTGACGACCTGGAGCTCACGCGAGCCAGAAAACGCCCCATCAAAGCCCACATGATGTGCCAGAGTCGCCATCCAATGCGGAACAACATTCAACTTGTCATAAGCCCAGCGGCCGATGTCGCCACGAACGCTGCCAAGTCCAACACTCGCACCACAACACAATAGTTGCCTCGTCTGGGCCGGCAGCGAAGCGGGACAATTATAAATCCATTTTGCCAGCCGATCACATGTGGCACGATGGCAATCCTGAGCCGCGATCTCCCTCGGCACCGCGGGGAAATAAGTTGCCAGCGCGGTCACGCCCATCGTGCCGTTTTTGGCGCGCACATCGTCCTCGCCACCGAATAGACTCTGGAGCAGTTTTAACCCAAACAGTGTGCTCAGCCTTGACATTTCGGCAAGAGATGATGCTGCAACCAGACGCGATAATCACACACGGCGGCGCCACAAAACCCGCATCGAGACTAAGACGCTTGATGCGACTTGGCCCACCCACCTCTACCAAACGCACTCTTGTGGTAGTTCCCGTGGTCGCAAGCTGTTTGGTTTGAGTCACAACCACCGGATAACAGACATGCCGTTCTTCGAGCGATATCCTCCACCCTGCCGGGCGTGTTGGCGGAAATGAGGGTTGTAACTCCCAACTGTGAAAACACACATCCCTAATCGAAGCAGCAAACAACAGCGGAGAAACATGCCCAAATGGCAGTTGCAAGCTGTTGCCCATCGACTGCTGTGCACTCGGTGAAAATTATATTTGCCCATCGGAAAGCGAAGAGGAGGATCAATTTCAGGATGCGGCGGAGGAGAAGGATGGCCCGAAGAGGAGCAAGCGGAACAGGAGGATCGGGGGAAGCTGGGGAAGGGACAGGAAGGTGGCGGCAACGACGAGGAACGAGCCAGACTCAGAAATGTGGCACGCGCTGGGGTGAGAGCACCATTCTGAACAACGGCAGCACAACACCGATTCCGAACATGGCAAACGCTGCAACTGCAGCTCCATGTTTGCAAGGCCGAGGACGTTTCCGTCTCATCGTCGTCGTCCTCCTCCTCCTCCTCCTTCTCTTCTCCGCCTCCTCCTTGTCCTGTATGTCCTCCTCGTCTATCACCTCCTCCTCCTCATCTTCCTCCTCCTCCTCCTCCTCCTCCTCCTCCTCTCTGCGCCTTCTCGTCCTTTTCCTCCTTCCTCCTTCGCCTCCGCCATATGCCCCTTTCCTCTTCCTTCAGATCAGCCTTCTCCTAAATGTCCGTTTCTCGTCTTTCTGGGTGCTACCATGCAGCCTCCTCCTCTTTACTGCGGCCGGGTCTGCCTCCGTCGATAGTCTGTGGGAATACCTTGCAGTCTCTATGGAGGCAGCCCCGCGAATTGCTCGTGGGAGTAGGGGAAGCAACAAGACCAGGAGCAGGACAAGAGCAGGAAGAGGGAGGATCGAGGAGGCACAAGGTGCGAAGTCTGTTGAGATTACACCTCCTTGTAAATGGTGCCGTTGCTGCGTCCATCATGCACTCGGTTGCCAGAACGCAAACCGCATGCACATGAGCAAGCCGCACGGCAGACGCATGGCCGAGACACTGGCACCACGAGCATGATGAGAGCGCTCATCCAAGCCCAGGCAGGATGTCCATGGCCAGGAACGGGAGAGACACGGCCCCGAGGAGAATACGTAAACTGAACGCACACGCTGCCGTCGAGGCCGCATTAACCGCCCAAGACGACCGCAAACGGATATGACGGCACGTGCGCGAAGCCACGCTGCCCGCCCCACGCTCTGGAGGACCAGCGAGGCAAGGGTTCCCCCCCTCCTGCCCTACCTCTTCCCCTCCTCCTCCACAGACCTCTCCTCCTTATACTCGCTACTCTTCCTCCTACTCCCTCCACGTCCTCCCTTCACCTCCTCCACTCTCCTCGTCCTGATGCTCCCCTGTCTTCCCCCTGCAGCCCCCTACCCTACCTTTCTCCTCCTCCTCCTCCTCCTAGTCCCTCCTCCGGTCTTGCATCATCCTACCTCCTCTATCCCCATCGTCTCTCCTAGCGCACGTTCCCTCCTCCTCCTCCTCCTCCTTCTCCTCCTCCTCCTCCTTTTGCCTGCTGCCGCCTGCCGCCTCCTGCCTCCTGCCCGTGCCTCTTCCGCCTCCTGCCGCCTGCCGCCTCCGCCTCCCGCCAGCAAGCCGAGCGGCGTGGCAAGGTCGCGATCGCAGACGCCCGAAGCCAACTGGCCCGAGCCATCCGCGCCGACGTGGCGCGAGGGGCGGGGGCGGGACGGGAGAGGAGGCCCTTACGCTGACGTTTACGGTGATCCTTGGAGGTCTCGGCGGAAGGGTTGGGGGCGGGCGGAAGGGGCGCATCCAATGGACCACTATCAGCAGCTACAAACAGGACTTGAGAAACGGGGGGAGTGCAAGGTGAAGAGAGGAGGGGATTGGGGGGACCACACGGGGCTCAAATATGTATTGCAGGTCGATGGGGCCTGACATGGGAATCCAGATGGCTGGCCTTCCTCCAATACCCACCAGACGAGCAATACGGTGTACACCAACCGTCCAAGGTAGCTGACCCATCAGGTCCGAATCCTACTGGCGGCTGTAATGCAACACATTGAAATGTGAGCTGGTGAGCCCATGCACGGGCCCTTTCATCATGGCTGTTCTGAACCAGTCGAGCTCAGAACAAGCACTTGGCAAACACAAATCAATCAGAGTGCGAATGCCGTTCATGTGAGAGGACCGGGTCGACCAAGAGGCTGACCTCTAGGGTACAAGATGCGAGGCGAAGGTACTTGCTCCAGATGAGTGCCGACTGCGCAAGGCACTCATGGAACAACCAACAACAAGGTGCCAATGCCACCAAGGCCATGCGCACGCACGGTAGGTCTAGGTCGGCCCTTTTCAGTTAACAAGTGCCCTTATCATCAAATTTATCCTGGCTAAGGACCCAACCATATGCAGTTGTGAATGTCGCGGTGGTGCGTATCCTCTTCAGTGGAGCTCCCTATGGAGCCCGAAACGTGTGAGGGGTGTGCCGAAAGGGTGCCGTGGTGTCATGCAAGCGCTGCCACTGGGGCCTTAGGTGCAGCTCCCTATGCAGCCACGAAATGCGTGAGGGGTGTGCCAAAATGTGCGCGGTGGTGCCATGCGGGCGCCTTAGAGGGCCCGACCCGTGTGAGAGGTGTGCCGAAAAGGGCGCGGTGTTGCCAACTGAGGCCTGGAGCTCCCCATGGGGCCCGAAACGTGTGAGGGTTTCTGCCGAAACGGGCGCGGTGTTGCCATGAGGGCGGTGCCCCTGGAGCCTTAGATGGAGCTGCCTATGAAGCCAAGAAGCGTGTGAGAGGTGTGCCCAAACGTGCGCGGTGGTTCCATGTGGGCGATGCCACTTGGCCTCAGGTTCAGCTTCCTATGGGGCCCCGAGACGGGTGAGGGGTGTGCCGGAACGGGCGAGGTGGTGCCATGCGGGCGCTGCCATTGGGGCCTTCGGTGGAACTCCCTATAACGTGTGAGGAGTGTGCCGACACGGGCGCGGTGGTGCCATGCGGGTGCTGCCTCTGGGGCCTTAGGTGCAGCTCCCTGTGCAGCCACGAAACGTTTGAGGGGTGTACCGAAACGTGCGCGGTGGTGGCATGCGTGCGCTCCCACTCGGGGCCTTAGGCCTGGCGGGTGCCCACTCTTCTTACTATTCTTGACCTCGACTTTTATTATCTCATTTTCCGCGGCGCCCGCCAGGTACATCTCGATCCGAGTCGCACTCTATTTTTATGTAAAAACGCCACAATCGTAATATTCAGGTTTGGCCAACGTAGAAGGACGTGGAGGGGGAGGAGGAGGAGGAACGCGGGGCACTGTCTCCTCAAAACGAAAACCCAACACCACCGGATGGTTTGGACCTAAGGGTTAATGTAGGCCGAGGAGGTCCTTCTTGTCTGGTGATTGCATCCCCCCACAACCATGGGTTCAAGCTCAAGGAGCAATCACATATCCACGCGCCATCTCACACAAACCACAGTAACAAACCACCAACGTACCAGCACAGCGCTCAGTAGATAACCGAATCAACTAAGAGGCTGAACCCAAGATGCAGATGCGAGGTGGATGCGCTTGATCCAGGAGTGCCGACTGCACAAGGCGCTCCGGAAGCAACCATGAATCGAGGTGCCAATGCCAATGCCGTAAGGTTCGTGCGACCGCACGGTAAGTATATGTCGACCTTTCTCGGTGATTCGATGCCCATCCCAAACATGAAAACGAGCGGCGGATGCAGGTCGTTCTTTTCTGCGGCCGCATGCCCCCAAATCCAGAACGAACGGTAAAGACAGGTCGTCCTTCTTCGGCAACCGACACCATCCCTTCAGAACAACGGTAGGTGTAAGCTGTCCTTTCTCGGGAGCCAGCCGGGAGAAACAAGGAGGCTTCCGAAAAAGTGGGAACAGAGAGGAAGAGGGGAAGGAGTAAGGAGTAGGCAGATGGGATTTGGGGAGGGAGGTAGAATGAAGTAGGATTGCGGAGGATGAGGAGAGACAATGAGGGGGAAGGACGTCTCCTCCTCCTCCTGCTTCTGTCCCTCCTTGTCGTCATCATCATGATTATGATTCGTCTCATCCTCCTCGTGAGAAAAGCTGGCGACGGCGGTGGCGCATCAACGCGAGCCGACGGACGGCGCGGGCCCGCCAAGGGAGGCACCAGAGATGGCACCTCTCGAACGCGCGGGCGTGGTCGCGCACCTGCCCGAGCTTGTGAGGCATGCAGCCTGCTCGGGGGACGGAGCTCTGGAGAGGCAAGGGAAATGATGATGAGAACGGGGATGAGGACGAGGGGAGTAGTACAGACACAAATCTGCGAGGATATGATTATTTGAATCCAAACGCGTTTGTCTGTAACACCCTCATTCGGCTGAACATCAGGATCCTGGTAGATAACAGCCTCCACCATTCTCTGCCCATACCTCCTGCCACCGCTCATCGGCTCTTGCGTCCTGATAGCTCAGGGAGCCCCTATTGACCACGTTGTCCAGGAAGCAGGGCGTTAGGAACAATGCAGGGACACGATTGGCATTTATCCATCCGATGCAGGAACACAACGGCTGCCGCGATCCACGGCGCGCAATTGGGGGGCGCAAGTACGCCAGTGTGCCGCCTGCTTCGACTACGCCGTGGGGCTCGCCGTGCAGTGCGACAACTGCGGCGGGATTGTGCACGCCCAGCAGTTCGGCCGCGCGCTGGCTTCTGGTGAGCAGCTTGCCGGCCAGGTCGTCGGTGCCACCGCCTTCGGGCTTGGGGCTGGAGTCACTCGACTCGCCAGCGGAATGCTGGCCAGCGCGAGGCAGACCATGGGCGGCGTGGCCGAGATCTCAGGGCCTGCCCCCCCACGCGAGCTGCCAGCACTTCAGCCTGCGGATGGTACCGACCCCGACATGGCCGAGAGGATGACGACCATAGAGGCGGAGGTGGTCAGGCTCCGCTCGGAGAACGCGCAATACCGCGAGGAATGTGGGATGCACCAGTCCGGAGGCGGCGGCCACGCGACCCCAGGCGCGGGCAACGCCGCGGGTCGGCCAGCCCCATCGACTCCGCAGCCGACGAGCGCGGCTGCCGCCGCTGACATCGGCCAGGATGGCGCCGATGACGCAGCAGCCCAACTTGCCGCGGCCCTCGGCGATCCACCCGCGGAGGCCGTGAACGCTTCCGAGGTGCAGCAGCGTGCAGTCCCAGGGGCAGAAGCGGCGAGCGGAGAGCAGACGGGCGTGATGAACGCCATGGGCCTGCATGGGGCCACGGCGCAGCCCGCGCCGAACGCCGCGGTCGGCGGTGGTGGTCTTCCTGCTGGCGGCGCGGGCCTCGCGCCTGAGGCCGTCCTCCCGCCTGGACTTGGCGCTGCGTCCTGGCCGCGGCCATCGGCGAGTGCGCCTCGAGGTGAAATGCCACGAGGCGGAGGAAGAGGAGGAGGTCAGTAGCCAGTAGCCCCAGCAGCGGCAGCAGCCCTGGGCCACCGCTGGAGCCGCAGCGGCGGCGGTCGCACAAACGCAATTCGGCGGACTCGGTCTGCGCGGTGCCGGTGGGCCTCCGCCGCCGCCACCTCCGCCACCGCCGTTCGGCGCCGCGACAACTGCTGGTGATTTCATTGGCGGTGCGAGCCGTGCCGATGCAGCAGGTTCGGCTGCTATCCTGAGTCATCTGAAAGGCGACGAGGTGCCCAAGTTATCTTGGACAGGAGGGTGCAAGGCGTCGAAGTATAAGGAGTGCACCGCAGGACGAAGCCTGGTGGTGCAACCTGCATGCAGCGGTGGAGCCCTCGCACGACGAGTATTTGCGCGTCGGCCCTCTGCAACGGCCGTGCATCTGCCCGCAGACGTTGCGGGCAGAGGAGCACAAAGGCAGGTGGAATACAAATACTGGCCCTGCCTGCTTCAAGCGGGGTACATGACCTGGGGGCCCGAGCGCCCGGCCCAATGCCTGGGTCGGGTGCCATGGTGCCCTGCAGATGCCTGGGCGCCCGGCTGCCTTGGGGTGCAAGCCCGGGAACCCAGGGGCCAGGCCATCAAAACACTTGCTGGGTGCCCGCGTTCCCAGGCGCACGCGGGTGCCCCTGCCCTTGTGCCCGGGTGCCTGTGTGTCCCGGGTGCCCGCGTGCACCCACGTGCCCGGGTGCTGAGAAACCTGAGTGCCCGGGTGCCCGCGTGCCCGGGCCCCCGGATGGCACCCAGCGCCCGCATGCCCCGGTGCCCGGGTGACCAATGGCCCGCGTGTTCGGTGCCCACGTGCCCGGGCGCCTGGCCCAATGCCTGGGAAGCTTCCACGGGCACCCAGGGGCACAAAGGCGGGCACCCAAAGCACACGGGCACCGGGGCACACGGGCATCCGGGCACCCGGCCGGGCACCCCGCCCGGGCTTCCAAGCACCCGGGCGCCGGGCGCCCGGGCACCCGGGCACCTGCAGGTGCCCGTGTGCCCCGGTGCCTGGGTGCCTCCTAGCTGGATGCCTGCTTCGAGGCCCATGTGACCAGCGGGACGAATGACTAGTTGCGAACAGTTACGATTCGCATCTGAGATGCTCAACGTGCGTTGTTCGATTGGCGCATCTCATTTGTTCGGGATCCTTTGGAGGATGGTGATTTGCAGATGACGATTTTCCCAGGGAGCGCCGCGCTCCATGAGTTGTCAGCCAATGCGATATTACTGCGAGCATCGCAAGCAAATGACAAGAACGTGTAGTTTCTGCGGGACCTGGCTGGCCAAATGCACGTTATAACGTCATCGGTCTTCCTGTAAACTGTAGGGTGCTTTAGCGAACTGGTCGGAACGAGCACTCGTGTGTGGTCATCGTCGATGTCGTCTCTACTCCATCCCACACACCAGACGAGTTGCCAATCGCAGAACCAGACTGCGTGGCTCCGACGGCGACGCCGTCCCAAGGTCGCAATGAACGTGAAACCACACACTTGAACGGCGGAATGGCAACTACCAACTCCCATCAGAACAACGCCACCTGTATAGAACGAGTTGTTGTCGTGGAAAGCTGTGGCGCTGGACAACGCCACCTGCGTCTCTGGACGCAAATTCTTCTGTGTTTCGATAAATTTCTTTGGTGCTGCAATCGACTCGTGCAACCCAGTTGCAAACCAGAAGTGTTAAAGGTCGTAGCGGTGCTGGGCCACAAGTTGAAACACGAAGGCTTTCTTCGGGCGTCTCAGGCACTTGTGGTCGTGCGAAAATCGCTTGGCATTTTTGTTGCTTCCTTCCGTGCGAGACGCACGACAGCAGCCCGAACTTGCTATACATATCTGGCAGGTGGGTGGCAATCTGGAAGTTGTATGCCCAGAATGTGTTGCCGTAGCACGCCTTGTGTAGCCGCACGTGCTTCATGGCGGCAGAAGAGAGATTGGCAGAGCTGACATCTCCGCCCTTGGACAAAGCGACGAACAAGTCAAAGGCGCCACACAAAGCCAGGAAGCTCGATATATGGTCGGCGCAAGCAGCCGCACCTGGAACTTTAGCATCCACCTCCCTGACGTAATGCGCAAGCACGGGCATGGCAGACAACGTCTCGGATGCACCCGCTTGGAGTTCGCCGTTTCGAAAGCCCGACGAGCATGTTTGACATTTTTTGGCCATGACCACGCTTGGAAGTGCGCGGTGATGTCGCCAGCGTTGACGAGGCGAGCGACGAAGGGAGCGCCGAGGAACGCCCCGACCTCCTGCTCGACGATGCCAGCCACGATGTACACGTGTATTCAATCGAAGCACAGACGCGACATCACACCATACCCCAAATCGGAGTCTAGTGCGATGTGGTGCGGGACGAACTTCCACCCATACAGCTGCGTGAGCTGTCTGAATCGTTCATCAGATATCTCGCCACCACCTAGCCGCTCCCAGTGGGGACTCCTTCTGTGAAGAACCGCAACGACACTCTGGTCTGTGTTGGGGACCCACTTGCCCTTGTCTAGCGACGCGTCGGACACGTACCATTGTGTGTCATCATACTGGCTATAATCGATGTTATGGTTTACCATGATCCTGGTGAATTTGGCCACTCGTAAATCTTGCTGTCGGACACTCGCGTAAGGAAAGGCGGAGGGTATGTGTAGTACTCTTAGTAAGCATCTGACTTGGATTCCATCCAACCTTCTCTTTTCAGTTTTGTTTAACCAAGCCGCGCTCCATGATTCCCCTAGCCGGCGTCCTTCGCGTTACGTCGCTGTGAACCTTGACCAAATGTACTAAATAAAGGGGAGACGTGTCCCCAGACCCCCTCCGGTATCGAGACTGCCCCCAAACCAGCTCCAATCCTCACTTTCCCCCTCCTCTTCCTCTTTCCCTCTCCCAAGGCGGCAGTGAGCCCGCGCCTCCAAGCACGACAATGCCGCCGGCGACCTCGACAAGCGAGCACGCAATGAGCAACTCCTGCTGTCCCCCTCCCGCGGGGGAAGGGGTGGGGGGAACGGGGCGAGACACAAAACAGCATACACAGAAACTTTCGGAGCTCCGGACGGATTTCTTGGATCGGTGCTGGGCCCCCCTGGCGGCGCCTCTGGCGCGTTCCGCGCGTCAGGGAGGGGGGTCCAGCGCCGACGAAAGAAATCCGCGCGGAGCTCCGGCAGATAAATGCGTGTTGTTTTTTGGCTCTAGTGCTCGGGGGGAGGGGGGGGGGTCGAGCCACTCCACCTCACTCGAGGAGGCGACGCCCAGTCGTCTCGGCCAACGGCTCCCCACGGGGGATGGCGCCGCTCTTCTGGCGTTACCTCCTCGTCCAAGTCTCGCAACAAGGTCAGGTGGGCGAGGATCAAAAACAGGTCTCACGTGAGATGACACTGCGACTTTATGCGGCGGCATACCCAAGCCGCCAGCGCGGCACGCTGCATTGGAGACGAGGGCGCTTACGCGCGACCTTACGCGAGCAGCTTATGCGCCAGTGTCGGCGCAGGCGACCCCGATTTTTTTTGAGTCGCTCGGGTATTCCATGGGCACGCCCGAAGGTACGGTAGACAACGGATACGATGCCAAATAGAAGGTGTTCTTCAAAGACGACAGCAGAGGCTGCAGGGAGGCGACTTCGTGACCCAAGAGGACAGCGCCCGCGGCGGCAAAGACATCGATCCCTGTAAACCACACGTTCCTGGACGGGGTGGGCTATCAGGCCCCGATCGGTGATGAATAGGCGAGGGTCGAACCAGCCCCCCTGAACCTATCCCCCTCTGGTGTCTGGGCCATAAAACCATTTCTCGGCTCTCTTGCGCCCGTTTGGGACCATCCAAGACCCCCAGGCAGCTCCCGACGAGGCGCAACTCCCGACTTGCGAAGACGGTTGAACACTTCCCCCCGGAACTTACTTCCCCTAAAGCTGCCTCTGAAGGTGTTCCATAAGCCTGCGCGACCATGGACGCCTCGACAAGGTGCAGAGACGGGCGCTGTGGCCCTCAGCGGTCCCGCCGCCGCCAGACACCTCGGACCGCTCTCGGAGAAACTGTGGTGGCCGCAGCGGCACGCCGCTTTCAGAGAAGAAAATGGCGGCGGTGGCCACCACACAAGGGAAGCAAGTCCCGAGCAGAGCAACACGCACCACGACCACGACGCCGACGACGACGGAGACGAGGCGGGCACACGATCCGCACCGAAGCACGGATTTGGGAAATGGCCCGCCCTGCAGGTTTGGCAACAAAAACGCACTGGTGAGCGATGCTGCAGCCTCCCAATGAGCACGGGCACCGCCAAAGAACATCAGCCGCACAAATCGGAAACAGAAACGGTGACCATGACACTGTGAAACTTCGGTGTCGATCTTGGTCATAATCCATCTTGGTCACCGTCGATTCGTGGATCGTCCTCGCGAGTCGGCGACGGCTGGCATGGACCATGTCCGAGACCGACGTCGACAAGACCCCGCAGTAACTATCTTGGCCATGGTCATCGTGCTTCCTTCCCCGGGCTACGGTCGGGAACTTTTGCTCAGCGTGCCGCCGCGTCAGCCCAGCGACGTGCCATGACCTGCGAGGTGATGCCGTGCCTTTCCGCCCCGCGGGGCGAAGGGCTTGGAAAGGCTCGGAACCTTGAAGCCTGGGGACTGGGACGTGGATAGCGTCTCGCGCCGAAGCGTCCGTAGCAAGTTTGGCTCAAGCCCGGTTGGCTCAAAGTTCGGCTCAGGCTCTCTTGCCAACGCGCGCGCGGGGGCGGGCGCGCTGCGATTGGGGCCGAGGCTGGGCCCAGACGAGGCCGGGCGGCCCACGGGCCCGCTTGGCACTGTTGGCATCGGCGGGCGCGCGGGCGAGCGCGCGTGCTGGTGCGGCTGGGCCAAGCAGCGGGCTTGCTGCAGCAACGCCACAGACGCCAGATGCCCTCCACCGCGCCCGCATGCCAGAGACGTCCGGTGCGGGACAGAACGCTCAGAGCAGGAGATGCTGGCGGCGCTGCGGGCGGGGACGGCTGGGCCGACTGCTGAGGGGGGCAGCCCTGGCGGGCGGCAGCGGCCGCAGCAGCAGCAGATTGCTATTGCTCCACCTATTATCATACTATCGCATTATCAGCACGAGTGCGAACTTAAACTTCCAGAGCGCGAGCGCGTGCGAAACCCTATACCATGCTTAGCGTCGCGCTGGGAATGCTGAGCAGTGTCGTGCTGGTAGTACGTGCGATTATCGTTGTAGGCGGAGTGGCGAAATGTTTCCTATATATGTCTGCTCTCTCTCTCTCTGTGGCTTTTCTTTTGACGGGTTCTGGATGGCTCAAGATCCCTTTGCGTAACAGTGTCCACCCCAACGCGTGTAGAAATCGTATACCACGGGAGGCTCTCACTCTTCACATTATCCAGGTCTTCCTCCGTACATGTTACATCTTCGACGGCTTCAAGAGATAGTGAAAAGCGACTGCCAGGTATACGGGTCAGGCAGTAAGCAGCATCGGATCCACAGCCCACTTCACGAGATGGACGGGCTTGATGACGATAGTGGGGCAAAAAATGAAGTAGGAAAACGAGGAGTGGGGGCGTCGACGGGGGAGATCACCACGAACGCACTCAAGAATAGACGAGGAGGTGCCGCTGGATCTGCCACGGGAAGGATCAACTTGGTGCCCATCCACAGGGACATCCAGTCAATCGGATATCGAAGAACACGGGATTTCCACAGGAGAGTTGTAAGAGGCCTTGGGCCCGATCAAATGCGACATGCATAAACTTACCGATCGTATAGATGGTCTAAGTACTAGGTCTCCGTCGATGGCACCGTCATGTGCGCGCTCTGAGGGAACCACCACATCTCAGATTGAGGGCGAACTGCTGGAGGTGGAGCGCCAGCTCGCGGAGCTCACCACAATCCAGGATCGGGCCTGCAATGCTGTGGTTAGTGGTTTGGGGGATCTCCCTGATCTTAAATCCACCGTGCATTTTATCCAATATCACTTTCGGCATACAAAAGCACCTGAGCAATTGGATATTTTCGCGAAGGGCGAGGTCAACAACATCATCACTGCAAAAATCGGGTCTGTCGCCGTCCGGGACAAATTCGTGAACGCCATCGGAAAAACGCAAATCCAATGCTGATCAAATACTGTGTGGACCCGCGCCGGCCAACCTGTCGATAAGCGTGTGCCGGAGAGCTTCCTCTTCGGTCTTCGTAAAACTTGCTTTGGGTTGGGGATATTCGAAAGAGGTGAAAGTGGACGCGCCCGCGCACACGCTGACAGTGCGAAGAGCCAGTGGTCGCAGTGACCGTCGTCAACAACAATCTTCGTGACACATGGAAGGGGTTGTGGGCTACTCTGTGCGCGCTTACAAAGGCCCCTGAAATACAGTAGTTAATCACTCGTGCGCATGACGCCATGGGCCAGGCTGGGACAGGTGGGTGTACGGGTAAGAAAGACGGCAAGCCTCATGGATAGGGACCCTGACGTCACATCGGCAATTCGAATGCAGCTTCGACTGGCAGATGTGTGGCGATCCCATTTTGGCCGATTTCTCGTTGTAGGATTGCGTCTTGGAATGTCGAATGCGTCGACGATGGCCGCCCGCACAAGCTGCCCGAGTTAACGAAGCAGCGGTTTGCCTCCAAGAGACGCAATGTCGAGGCTCGTCGGTTCATGAATTCGAAGGCTATTTGTTGACCTCGCTCTCTTATCTCCAATGGACATTCACAGCGCAGCGCAAGAACTGCGACCTTACGGTTGCGAATAACTGGGGGCATCTTGACATGAGTAACGGAATGCGCATACACAAACGAACATCACTTTGATATTCGCACGTTTTCTTTTCTGAGCTGGAGAGGTTTACCAGGAAGTGCCGGTCGCACGGGCCCAGTATTGCTGGGGGGAACTCAACGCAAAGCTTCTGCAGATATTCGCCAAAGAACAGCATGCGATCGAGGACTACACGTTCGAAACAAAATCATTCTGAATGGAATGCGTATTCAAAAAAGAAATTGTTGACAGAACGCCGCGTAAGCCTAGGCGCATGCTTTGCACATGCGTTCTTTGATATTGGACCCACTGCAAAAGTAACGCACTCTGTTTTGATGGCGCGGCCACTGGAAGAGATCCACCCTGGCCGTTTTGAGCAACAAGGCCGCGCCGTTGTCGCGGCATGGGGTGTCAAACGTCAATTGCATGTGGAATGACGGGCCGCACCACTTTACCACTACTACTACTACTACTACTACTACTACTACTACGACTACTACTACTACTACTACTACTGCTACTACGACTACTACTACTACTACTACTACTACGACTACTACTACGACTACTACTACTACTACTACTACTACTACTACTACTACTACTACTACTACTACTGCTACAACTACAACTACAACTACAACTACAATTACTACAAATACTACTACACCAACTACTACTACTACTACTACTACTACTACTACCACTACCACTACTACTACTACTACTACTACTACTACTACTACTACGACTACTACTACTACTACTACGACAACTGCTACTACTGCCACTACGACGACTGCTCCTACTACTACTATAACTACCACCACGACTACTACTACAACTACTACTACTACTATCGCTGCTACTCCTTCTTCTTCTTCTACTACTACTACTACTACTACTGCTCTTCATGCTACGGCAGCTTCGCGTCTTACGGCTTGCAGTAGTAGTTATACTACTACTGCGGCTACTGAGTTTACTTACTTCTTACTACTTATTCCTTACTACTTACTACTACTACTACGACTACTACTACTACTACTACTACGACTACTACTGCTGCTGCTGTTACTACTAAAACAAGAACAACAACAACAACTACTACTACTACCACTACCACTACCACTACCAATACCACTACCACTACCACTACCACTACCACTACCACTACCACTGCCACTACTGCGACGACGGCGACGACGACGATTACTACTACGACTACTACCACTACTAACACTACACATTCTACCTACACCAACTACTACTACTACTACTACTACTACTACTACTACTACTACTACTACTACTACTACGACTACGGATGCTAATTCTATCTCGCTTACAACTACTACTGCTACTGTCGCTAACCTTCCACTGCTATTGTAACTACGACTACGACTACGGCGACTGCTACGACCACGACAGCTACCACCAACGATCACGACAACTACTACTACCACGACTACTCCTACTACTACGACTACTACTACTACTCATATTACTCTTACTGCTGCTACTACTAGTACTACTACCACTACCGCTACTACTCCTAGTACTACTACGACTACGACTACCATTACTACTACTGCTACTGCTACTACTCCTACTACTACTACTACTACAACTACTACTACTACAAACACTACTGCCATTACTACATCTACTACTACGACCCCTACCATTTCCACTACTACGAGTACTACTACTACAACAACAACAACTACTACTACTACTACTTCTACTACTTCTAGTAGTACTAGTACGACAGCTACTACATCAACGATTACTAGGATTGCGACTACCACTGATATTACTACTTTTAAAATCGTCTACGCCTGCTATTAGTACTACTGTGCTACTAGTACTACCGCGACTACTACTACTACTACCACGATGACTACTACGACTACCGCTACTACTACAACCACTGCCACTACGATTACGACGACGACCACTACGACTACTAATACACTTGTTACTACATACTGCTATTACTACTACTGCGGTTACTACTGCTACTACTACTACTACTACTACTACTACTACTACTACTACGACTACTACTACTTCTACGACTACTAACACTGCAAAAACTACTACTGCTACTACTACTGCTACTAATACTACTACTACAACTACTGCGACTATTGAAGTTTCTACTTCCACTAATACTACTACTGATGCTGCGACGACTGCTACTACTACTACTACTACTACTACTACTGCGACTAATACAACTATTAATAGTACTGATCGTGGAAGTAGTGGTAGTAGTCGTAACAGTAGGAGTAGTAGTAGTAGCAGTAGTAGTAGTAGTAGTAGTAGTAGTAGTAGTAGTAGTAGTAGTAGTAGTCGTAGTCGTAGTCGTAGTCGTAGTAGTAGTAGTAGTAGTAGTAGTAGTCGTAGTAGTAGTAGTAGTAACAATAGTAGTGGTAGTAGCCGTAGTAGTCGTAGAAGTAGTAATAGTAGTAGCCGTCGGAGTAGTAGTCGTCGTAGTAGTAGTAGTAGTAGTAGTAGTAGTAGTAGTAGTACTGCAACTTCTACTACTACGACTAGGACTACTACTACTACTACGACTACTACGACTACTACTACTACTACTACTACTACTACTACTACTACTGCTGCCACGGCGTCTGAAAGTCAGCATCCGCGCAAGTACTGCGACCCATGCCAATTGTAGGTCTACACCGAATGCTTGCACTAATTCGACTGCCATCAACGCCATTACGATCGCTCGGGACAATGAGGACCAACGATGGGGGCCAATGTCGCCTGGCCGAATCCAGAGCCAGCGGGGCCACAAACTGGCTTCTTAGAAAAGCCAGGAAGGGGAAACGTCGTCCAGCCGATTCGAGATACGGCGGGCCTCGTTCTCGTTTTCCAGGAAAGTCACACAGAACCCTGTCAGACACACTGCTTAGGGCACGGTAACAACGTTCGGCATTTTTTTGTCTGCGACGCGTCGAGCTCGGTTTTTTCTCAGGCACCCGCTTCGCCTCGGCCACGGACCCAAAAATCCCTCCCCGTCCCCCTTCCGCTCCGGAACTCCTCTCTCGGCCGCGAACGCGCCGCGACATCCGCACGCCCTGGCGGCATTCGCACGCGTCACGTGCACTGAATCCCCACCAGACCAGCAACCAGAACGCCTAGACCTCGACAGAACGCTCGGCCGTTTTTGTTCCCTCGGTACTGCTCCCTGTGAGAGTCGTCACCAGGACGGGGCTGCAGGAGCAGCAGGGGGAGCAGGGTAATCGAAAAGGAGAATGACGAAAGACGAGGGCATGGACGAGAAGGGCGCAGAGGAGGAGGGAAGATGACGAGAATGATTACTAGAAACGAAGATGACGATTGGCATGAAAGAAGCGGGTCCTCAGGGAAACAGGTCCTGACCCCGGGTGCTGTCCCCAGGACCAATCCTGGGTCGTTTCTGACGAGCCACGGGCCCGTAGAGGGGCTGGATCCCGAAAGCAAAGAAAACCCTCAGGACCCGTTTCCCTCAGGACCCCTTTCCTTCACTGCGAGACGAGGGCGACGACGACGCCGCTGGTGAGATGCCCCCCCCCGGTGTCCGGCGACGGGGAACCCGCGGCGGGTGCGCAGCAAGACCATGTGGCCGTCCGCAGCGCAAGCACCCAGACCTGCCGCCCTCCTGTCCGATCTCTGCAGCCACAAGGGGAAGGGCGCCCTGGAGGAGGACGAAGACGAGGAGGAGAGGTCAAAGAGAGGGTTCAGGGTCTGTTTCGGCCTCGGACAGCACTCTCGGGGCTCCAATACAGCCCCCAAGAACTCGGGATAGAAAGCTGGCCCTGGGGAAGGGGTACGGACCTCTGAGGTCCACGCTGTGGCTAGAGCGCGACGTCGGAATTAGGTGTATTCATTTTCCCCAATCCAGAATTGAGTTCTTGTGTGTTCTGGACACCCCCGCGAAGGGCTCCTCCTCCTCATTATCTTGCTCTCGCCCCTCCTCTGTTCGTACTCCTCGTCATCACGCATAGTCACGCAGTTGCAAGAGCACCGTCATCATTACTCCGTCACACACACACAAAAACCTACACATACATACTCTGACACACAAACATACACACACGCACGCTCACACAGATGCGCCCACACAAAAACACACACACACACACACGCATGCACTCACGCATGCACCCACGCATGCACCCACGCATGCACTCACATGATAAACCCGCTCACTCGCACGCTCATGCACTCCGGCACTCATCTCGAGGAAGTCGCAAGGGAAGTCGCAAGCGGGAGCCTCGTGCGTGATTGAATTGCGAAGGGTCACCGGCGGGAGCCCTTCCCAACAGGGCACACCCAAATCATGGTACGGATCCGAGGGGGCCATCCAGCTCCTGTATTTGTCGCCATTTTGAGGTTTTAGTTTGGAGGGAGTTTCGGGAGCGGGAACTTTGCACGTGAGTGGATTTGGACGAGGACTCCAACGGAACCCCCCCTTAAAGGATCTGCATCTCCACATCCAACGTGGGTTTCTCGTTATCGTTGGACACCCACGCGCTGACCTCCTCCTCACCTTCCTCTCCTCTCCTCTCCTGTTATACTCGGCATCGCCATGACGCACATTCACGCAGTTGCAGTAGCATCGCCATCATGTCACACTCATACCCCCACGCACACGCACACTCACACTTGGGCCCTCCAGGCTTCAAACTTGAAGGAGTCTGGAGCGGGGGCCTCCCCATAGGAGGAGGCGACCTGGCGAGGCGAGGAGAAAACGGAAAACTGCAGGAGCAGGAGACGGACGAGGAGGACGATTGGGGGGGGAAGGCAGGGTCACGAAGAAGACGGAAGCGGAGGGGCAGGAGGGGCAGAAAGCGAGGGGCAGGACCCCGTCAACTACCAATGGGTCGAGGAGCTTCAGCGGCGACATGCTTATGCCAATTCATTCGGCGACGGCGCCAATGAAACCATACCCGCGCGCCCGGGAGTAGGAGGGGGACATGGAGAAAGAACGGGAGGAGGAGGAGGAGGAGGAGGAGGAGGAAGATGAAGAAACAGAGGAGGAGAAAGCAGAAGGAAACGGGACGGCGGAGGAAGAAGAGGTAGGACAATGAGGAGGGGTAGACAGGTGGATGGCATCCACAACAGGATTGACACGGTATATTACTGGTAAACAACATGAGCATATTGCCATGTAGCGCCCCACCGTCGGATGAACACACTTCTTTTTCAATGCTATTCAAGGGCATGACGTCGGAACTCTGGCTTTATTCAGGGGTGGCCTTTCCGATGTTCCTCTCCGCTGCTCCCTCCCGAATCAGGAGGGTGGATGGGGCAGAGAGGGCGAAGCTATGAATTTTCGTTGACTGTACTGTTTTTGTTCTCCTCGCCCCTCCACCGAAGGGGAATGGGGGGAAAGATGTGCATAGGGAATGGAGGGGGCGGTGTATGGAGAGCAGCAGCAGAGCAACATGAAGAGAATGACCAGTCGAAGGGAAGGAGGGGGGGCAAGAGGAGGGGGGGGGAAGGGGAGGTGGGTGGGTGGGTTGGGGGATGGGGAACGGGATGGGGAGGAAGGGAAACTAGAGAGAACCCTTACCTGCTTGATCTTTCTCCTCCCAAGTCCACCATCCTTAATCCTCAAATGAATTCCCTTCCTGCTCTCTCGCCCTCGTTATCTTTGTTTACCCAAGGCGCCCAACGCAATGGCATTGTCTGCGATGAAAACCCGGCCCCCTAACGAGTTCAATGCCTTCTTTCTGCGGCATTACTTCAGGAATGGACGATGCAAGCACATGTATCGTCCTGTCATGTGCACCAGATGAGAACTCTCCCGCCATGCATTCGAAATTGCAACTCGATCTACCACGCGGCTGCAGAAAACAGATGTGGTGGTGTTTCACCGCCTGCGTGTATGAGCCAGTCTACCCCATGCGCACGAAGATCTCCCGCTGGCGGCACAGCTTTTTGACACCACGATCGCCCGACGTCCATGGCGTAGTTCGCCAAGTGGCCGACGACAAATGGGAATGACATCGATGCTACTGTACGAGTCCGAGTCCGGCCGAATAGTCATCCAACCCGTGATAATAACACCCTTGGCGGCAGAATACCCTATAATCAGGTCTTCAGGGTACCACAGAAATACGTATGGTGGGTACTTGGGGAAGCGACAGGGGGGAAACTGTAAAGAGTGCTATCAAGTTCAAAGGGACCACGATAGCGAGCATTAAAGGGAAAGCGGTTGTGAGTACTCTGTAGAGCACTGGAGGGCAAACCAGAGAAACCATAAAGCAGACCACACGGGAGACAATACAAGAGACCATAAGGAAAACCATACGGGAGACCGTACGGCGGGAGACCATGAAAGAAACCATGTGTGAGAACATGCCGGGTACCATCAGAAGGGAAGCCATATTGAAGTCAATACGGAAGACCACGAGCAACGGGCCACCGACACCAGATCCGGAAAGGATCGCACGCGCCTGAGAACTCACCGGACCCTGAGCGACACGCTCTTTCAATGAATCGGAATCGTGACCCTCCGAACTCTTCGTCTGCCCCCCCCTTCTCCTAGATAGTGCCAACCTCCACTGCGCAAGCTCTTTCACCCATTCAGCCCGAGTAGAGCTTTATCCATTCGGAGAACACTGCGCACTTATCGGGCGAATCTTCATCCATCCTTCTAGCATTGCGTGCTTCTGTAGATTCACCCAGGCGAAGCCGGTATAAGGAAATGTACTCCCACGCGGTCCAGGACCCTGCCTCCGCGTGTACGTGCCAATCCAGGCGACGCCTGTAGTATGGTTGCGCCACCTGCATCTTTTCCTATTCCTGCCTGGTCCACAAAGCCCGAGCTGTTGCAAGGTAGTTTGGGAACTTGTCCATCAGGACGCGTGCTCTCAATGTGCCCTACGAGAACCTGTAGTACCAGATGCAGATGCCCTGCGACAAAGAAGGCGCGCTGTGTCCTGTGGGATGCGCGTAGCGCGCGTGCGCTGCGCCTGCCCATCCTCCTCCTCCTCCTCCTCCACCTCCTCTTCCTCCAGCTGCCATCTGGGCCCAAGAGATTGTCAGGGCAACGACACACTGACGCACCGTCATTCCACAGAGATGTGGAGGCAAGATTGACTGGGCGGACGCCCGCATATTTGCGCTGCGATGGATGACCACCCTCGCGCTGCTGCTCTACAATCCGCTGACGGCCAGAGAGAATCGACTCCAGGAAATCTTCGAGGAAGCAAGCAATTTTGACGTCGTGATCCTGACAGGCACTCAACGACTCCGACGAGGAACACAACCAGAACAACAAAGACTACAGCACACCATGTACATCGATGCAGGGTGGCAGAGTGGCTTGCTTACCAACTGCAGCACGGGCATCCTGGTGGCACTACAAGGACGACTACGAGGAGCGGACATACTCGCTGTGCATGCCCCACCACCAGAACTCTGCGGACGAGGCGTCGCACTCGACATTGCGTACCACACACTTCGACTGACGATCATTGGATACTACTTCCCACCCCAGCCGCGTACGAAGGAGGAGAATAACCAATAATATGCGACAGTGGCACGACTTTACACGTGGATGAATACCATTGCGCAACAGCGCCCACCAGGAAGCTACTATTCACAGCGGGCGACCTGAACGACGGGATTGGCATCACGGCGAAAGGACATACTCCACCGAGCACGGCGCTGGGCGAGTACCGCACTAAAGAACGACTACCAGGAGGCGCAGGACAACGGGCACGACAATACGCAGAGCCCCACCAACTCTTGGTAACGAGCAGCACCTCGCCATGGCGCCCGACGTTCTTTGGCACACACACACACACTCACAGACAGCGAGCTGCATCGACTTCATCATGATGCCGCAGGGACTCTCCTGCAACGTCATCAGCCAGGGACCCCTACTCCGCATGGGCACCAAACTGCAACAGATCCCGAGCATATACCACCGCGACCACGTACCAGTACAGGCGACGGTCACAGCGACGATACGCGGACAGCAGGTCCAGAAACAGAAACCAATGAGATGGGACAACGATCTACTCGCTCAAGAGGCCCGACACGGACAACATCGCAACAAATTCATAGAAGCGCTGGAGACCAGACTCGAGACGTACGACCCCACTCACAAAGGCATCGACGAGCTGTTCGCGGACATTAACGATATGATTGCACAAACGGCACACCCCATATACGGACAACGACCGGCACACACACACACACACTGGCTTATACAGACCTACGAGCACGCCGAATGGAACTACTCCGACAACGCAGAGCACTACGGGAACGACTCAGACGGGAGGGCGATGCACTACGCATGGGGCCCATAGAGGGATATCAGATGAACAAGGTGCCGATCACCTACGTTACTGGGCCCCCACAGACTGCATGTGTGGCGACTGGGTCTTCACCGAGGGCACGTTCCACTACTTAACCTCCACCGACAGACTGAGCTACTACTGGGTCGCCGTCTACGGCCTGCATTGCCACTGGGACGTCACATACGGATTGTGTGGCTACCAGGCCTCCAACGACGGTTTGTGTTGCTACTGGGCATTCGCGTAGGATCTGTGTTGCTACTGAGCCTCCACCGAGGACGTGGGTTGCCACTGGGTCTCCACCGACGGCCTGTGCTACTGGGACGTCACCTACG